CTCACGCCTGGGATATCACGCTGAAATACCCGTGCATCGTCCCTGCAAGACCGCCTAACAAAACCAGAGGCACACACATACACACACCAGGAAACAATGCTCTGACAGATTCAAGAAAAGTTACATAATCAAACACCGTGTGAGAGATTCCCAAATAGGTGATAAATGTAGAGGTTTTTTTTTTTTACTCCCTATCAGTCTGGCACAGCCATCACTACTGCAAAGGGGCCAAGGAAATGAGCTGTCACATCTATCAAAGCTCCCTCTGCAACCCCCGGTGCAAAAATCAATCAAGAGGTCATCAGCACTGGAGAGACAAAATAACGTAAAAAGCTAAAGAACTGTGGATGCAAATATTGCTGGGAGTCAAGTCTGGACCTGTGAGGACCTCAGCGTCCAGATACCCAGTCTGAGACCTTCAACGTAAATGGCAACTTCCCACGCCACTCAGTAGCCAGTCTGTGGGATGAAAATACACGCCTATTGCCATATGTGCGCACAGTCTACACCGCCGACGCACCGGTAGCAGCGCCGGCGTCACACGGAGAAGGACCCGCTGTCAACAAACCAAACCCCGGCAAACAAACACTTCACGTTCACTCTCACTACGTCGTGCAGTCCCCAACCGCCGCCGCCCCGCTTACCTCCGATGGTGACCCGTTTTGTCTTTCTTCCCCTTCGGCCTCCTCTTTCTGGCCTGAATGGCCATCACTGCCGGGGTGAGGGTGCGTTTATCCACGGGCATGACCGACGTCCGAGTACGGGGAAGGGTGTAGGAGGGACGGGGAGAGAGAACAAACACACATCATCAGGCTCTAAATCTGGCTGGCAAGGGTCATTTAGCGTCGTGTAGCGAGTCCTAGTAGGCTTTCTACTGGCGTAACTTCCGCCACCTTTCATGTTTAAAACAACCAGAAGTGGGGTAGCAACGCCGAGTTAAAGGCTGAGGGATACGCACCTTTCCTGGAGCTCATGTTTCCTCCTCTTCCCCTCAGCAGGAGCAGGCAGAGCGGCGGCAGCAGCCGGAATCTCTCTCTCTCTCTCTCGCTCTCTCTCTCTCTCTCTCTCTCTCGCTGTCTCTCTCTCTCTCTCACACACACACACACACACGCACACACCTCTCTACCTTTGGATGACACGCGCTCCCTCTGTCGTTTGCAGCTGGAGTCGCGTGCAGTCCTGCGTGGACCTGCGCCACAACAACACAATATATTTGATAGGTAGAGTTTTTTTTCTGAGTCTGGTTATCGCTCATGAAATAGTAGAAAATATAATGTAACAACAAAAATTTACAAAATTCATTATTCAAAAAAAGAAAAAGAAAATCTAAAAACCTGAGATTAAACCAAAATGAGTATTCGTCTGAGAGAATCCTATAGGTTAGGCTATTTGTAACTACAGTACATTTTCCTGAAGAACTGTAGCCGCATTCGGTAGCCTACAGTTTTTAGGTATTTTCTTCTTCACTTAGTATTTCCAGTTTGTGCTGCTTTGCTCTCCACACTTTACATTCAAAACATGAGCAGCTGTCAAGCAGTTATGAAGTGTGACGCACTGCTGTAGATTAAACTAGCCTACAATTATAAAGTGGTTAAAACTGACCATTGAACAAATAATGAAATGCTGACTTTTACCTTTGTTAAATATTGCAAAAACGTCTGTACTTCACTGCAATTGAATTTTGCACGTAATATAACATTGTAAAAAAATACTTGTGATATTTAACTTTTTTTTTTCTTCAGTAGATAATATTTCTTTACATGGATAGCATTTGGTTGCCCTGGAGCCTGGGGGTACAACATGCTGATCATGAACTGTAACGTTGCTGGTTTTATGTTGCATGTCATTCCCCATCTTTCTGTGTTTCCTGTCATTTTGCTGCTGACTCTCTAATAAAAATATAAAATACCCCCCAAAAATTGTTAAAAATAATAAGCTAAGACCTCACTATAGACATTTTGTCTCAAAGAAACACAACCTACTTTACTGCATTATGTTTAAACCAACACAGGGAGCCAAAAAGAAACAAAACTGAGGTGCAGCAGTTTAGCAGTGAACCTAATCTTGTTCTCCTCAGCTGCGTTACACTTTTACAAAGCACCTATGTACTGTATCACTACAAAAGCTTGGTAGCAAGCCCGGGGTGCTGCTTCTATATTATTTATAGCGAGTTGTGTGTTTTTTGTATTGCTGTCTACAGCCTACTCTGCTTTGTGCTATTTCAACAAGGTTCGTTGGACATTGACTTAGATTTTGATGTTTTATCGGGTCTCATCTTCAATCTTTCATGATGCTCAACAGATCTGTTACTCGAGGTTATTATGAGAAACAGCAGGGTCATTAATAATGTGAAATTTTTAGTTTCCCTACAGACAAGTGAGAATTGGACTTGTGTTTATGGATAACAATATCTGTTAAGACCACATAAAGCTCCTTTGCTAAGTCTGAGATCACAAAAGATTTCATTACCAGAGTGCCAAGGTCCACATTTGTGACTAGAGGTGCAATAGTTATAATCTCAAGCCCCTTACATGTTTACAAAAGAGTTCAAATATCAAGTAAAAGACTGTGTAAGCAGTAACAAGGCTTTGTTCCCCCTAACTGTATTTGCAAATCCATATCACCATTACCAGAAAATATGATTTGACACCCTGTAACTCCATCCTGGATTCTGTCATTGTAAACCACCCATTTTTCTCTCATTTCATTCACTTAGCAGCAGTAACTGAAAGAGGATATCGTACAGGTTTTTGCTCAGGGACATTTCATATCTAGATATGGAAGATATTCGGCTTTAGTGAGTCTATGCAGAGAATCATAAGCAGGGACATTTTACTGCTGAACTTACCACTACTCCCATTTTAATTTAGAAGTCATGAGATGGAAAAGTGACAGCAAAGGGTTTCAAGTAGCCTACCAAAATATTTGAATTTCCGCACCTTCACAAGGGAGGTGGTCGGCTATTTAATCACTGCAGCTCACCATTCAGTTAAATTATACTTTCACTCATGTAAAATGTAATTGGCAATACTAATGATGGTCGAATGGGATATTAGCAAAATGGAGGATTATCAGTCAGTATTGTCCTTACCTGTCAAGGTAAGTACTTTAACCCTCACGACTAATTAGCCGTATTTGTCTGCTACAAAAGTGTAGCCATGATTGCAGCACTTAGATATAACTGTTTTGAAAGCAGATGTGTGCTCATGTGCTCAAAGAGAGAAAAAAAACAGTATATTTTAAGAGAACTGTAATTCACCATGCCAAACAGACAAACTGACTTATTTGCTAGTTTATTAATTATACTGCCATCTAGCACCACAGTAATACATCCTATCTTTATATATTATTAGAACTGAGGTACTGATTCAACTTTATTGTCATTTTGGAGGTGATCTATCATCTGTCCTCAGCAGAAAGGATGGTCAAAAATATGAATGCCTCTCAGCATAAGGCAATACATTGCATCAGCACTAAAAACTACAGCCTGCTAATAAAGTTCTTTATTGGGGAGTACAGGTTTAACAGGCATATTTAAGAGCCAATCACATTCCCCTGTTCCATTGAATTACAAACTATTACAGATTTTTAAAAAATATTACAGTCTAAAAGTAAAATCATAATACTCCTACTCTTTTAATTATTTTTCAGTATCCTCACATTCCCCTACCTTTCACTCTGATAAGAACTGAAACATTGTCATACCCCTTACATAGCATCAATCTCTCCATGTCAATGTTCAAACAAGAAAACAAAATAAATAAGAAAGTAAATAAAAAGTAAAATAAATGGTTGATATTTCCCAAATAATTTGTCAGAGCTGCCTATCATGTCACACATGATCTTTCCTGTTTCAGAATAAAAGACATTCTTAAGCCACTGAGAGGTGATCTGGCTTTCTACCGAAGTCACCAATTATTGCAATAAAGGGACAGTTCTTAATTCATGTCTTAAATATTATGGACATAAAATTGTCTTACCATGGCATCTAGCTAGCTGTACCTAATAAGCTGACACCTGAGCGTATCTTGCACAACAAGATCTGTGATCTGTGGTGGGAGGGTTTTGGCTCATTTCACTGAGTTAATGTTATCGCTGCTTGATTTATTGTGTATTTTATCACCACAGATTACTTCACGTTCACCTGACCTGCAAGACCTAGTGTCAGTGAGTAATCCATGTGGTTAAACCGAGGGCATTCAACACCTCTATGGTTAAAAGGCACCGCTGGGATTCGAACCCAGGATCTCCTGTTTACTAGACAGGCGCTTTAACCAACTAAGCCACGGCGCCGTTGTCATTTCCTCCGCGTGTCAACCTTCAGCCACGAAATAGAGCTGTGCCCCTCGCTATAGGGCAGTGAGGGTCAAATGTGCCACATTCTCAAAGCGCCTCACGAAAATACAATTGAAAAATAAATTCAAAGCCTATGTTCGTCTCAGGGGAAAATCAAAATAAAATTGTGAAAAATGCTCATCATTTTGTTTTCAGAAAAGCTGTCTTTAGTAGCCTATCATAGAAAACTGGGAAACTAGAAACTAGCAAGATACAGTGACGTGGAAAAAACTATGTCACTGTAACTTGGTTTTGTCCATATCCATAAAACTGTCATTTTTTCATCTTACTAGTTGTAATCTCTAAAGTCTAACAACTTCCACAGCACTTTCTCCTCTTATCCTGCTGATATTAGGCTACATGTCTGAGCTAATCATGACCACTGGACTGGTCATGGACTCCTCTCTTCTCTGGAGCCCTGATGGTTAGCTCATTAAAGGCCATAATAAGTTTATTTATACAGCACTTATCAAAATCAGAAATTACAAAGTGCTTTTCAAGGCAGGCATAAAAGGGAAAAAAGAAACTACAAGTTGGGTGACAGTTTTTGCTTTTGAGTTGTTCATCTTTTCCAAAATAGACAATCTTTGAGTAAAGCTAACTCGAGGATTGACTGGTCTCTAACCACACATATGCAGTGGGCGGGCTTTAGGGTAGGATCTGTATCCGGCACGCACACATATACACACATACACACACGTGTGAGAAAAGCTGTCGTTGAATCCTGCTCCGGTATCTTGTAAACCTCACCAGACACAGGTACGTTAAAGCAGCTTTCTGGGAAGAAACAACAACGCGTTTCATGTTGTTTACACCGAGGTTTGCGCTTAGCTTTGCTGCTAGCTATGTTAACCTCAACCATTGGTGTTAGCCAGCTAATCGATGGCCATGCCGATGCGCTAGCAGCTCTGCTAACTTTTTGAGTGCTCAGCAGTATCTCCATTATGTCTCTTAGTGGCTGCGTCAAGCTCGGGTCCGTGAAGAAGTCTCTGCAGGTGTTCATCAGCTCAGAGACGAGACGTGTTTCCCTGAGTCACAGTTGTCTGTTGCTGCCTCATCCTCACAAACGGTAAGTAAGTGGCATCATTGTCTAGGCCATTAACGTCAGTGTTGTTGTCTTTACTCGTGTTAACACCGCAGCGCAATGTTAACAGCTGTTTTTTGAGCTGATTTCAGTGACATCCCCACACCTCCACGGAGTTTAGAAACATGTGAATAGTCAAAAAATGATGTAGCATAGGCCAAGTTTTCCTGATATTAAGAGGAAGAGGACTTTAGCTTACACACAGCTACAAACATGTCAAGTGTGATGATTTACATTGTGATTTAATGTAAAGCAAGGATGCAAGAGTCCTGCTGACTAGGCAGCATCATATTACTAACAAACCTAACATAATAGATATGTGTTGATATTATCAGATTAGACTCGGTCAGCGGGCTATCTTCTTGATCGTTGTCTAGCTCTTTCTCAAAAAATGTGATTTGGTAGGCACCTATATATTACTTCATGCACCCGCAAGCCCCATATGGCCTTGTGTCACATTTTTTTTTTTTTAATTGAAGATTCCTCCTTGATCTAATGTGGCTTTGATTTGTCACTTTGGACAAAAGAATCTGCCAGATGAATACATTCTTATGGCTATTTTTCCCCACTGTCATGTTAGCTCTGAAACATCACAAATGGACCTATGTGTTGTCTATTCACTGGCAGTTCTTTCTGTGGGAAAAAAAAACTCAGATCTACTTTAAAGTAAAAAGTTACTCTGGACCGGATATAAATTACAGGAGGGCCAGCAAGCTCATAGAAAGACAGTAGGTAATTGCAACAGTAATCATCAATGAGGTGGGAGAGAAAAGTCACCCACATACAGAGTTGAGCATGTTAAATCCCACCTCACTTAGAGAAAGAAATCTAGTCCAATTGGGACTTTATGGCGTCTTGGTGGCTGAGGGGTTTAATCTGCTGGCCATGTGATCTAAACATCCCGATCCCTGGTTCAAGTGCAGTAAGGGTCCTTTGCAGCATGTCAACAAAGATCCCCTCTGCACTCTCTCCTTGTTTTCTTTCAGCTCTGTACTGTCCCCCCACCTAATAAAGGCAGAAATCACATCACCAGTGTATTTTCCTTCCAGAGCCACGGAAGACATTATACAAATATTTTTCCCAATAGGAGTACTACCCATGATAAGTAAACCTAAATTTCAAATGCAAAATTGGTAGGGTATCCCCTTAACTGTCCTCTGTTTATATTTTTGAATTAAAACATGTTTTTTGTGTCCTCTCCCTTCCCAGTTTGGCTCTGATGGCTGAGTCAGAGCCTGTGCCTGTCCAGGTTGGAGAGAAGAGAGGCTGTCCAGAGAACAAAGGCAAAGACACACCGTCAAAGAAACCCAGAGTAGAGAGTGATCACGAAAATGGAGGCCCTCCCCACCAAGACGAGGAGGAGGAGCTCGAGGGCGAAGCGGGCGATGGAGAGGAGGATGGGGAGACCTTTGCCAATATGATGAAGCATGGTCTCACTGAGTTGGATGTGGGCATCCTGAAATACGTCAGTGACCATGAAGGCTTCTCAGGAATCCTGAAGGAAAGGTTCGTCCTCAAGAGTCAGCAAATATTTTGCATAAGTTTCCTCAGTTTGTTTAACAGATGATTTCTTGTGGTTTGTCCTCAGATACTCTGATTTCGTGGTGCATGAAATCAACAAACAAGGAAAGACAGTGCATTTAGATGACCTCTCCATCCCTGCTGTGGCCGAGGTAAGATACCGGATTAAATTTCAATCACAAGTTGTCTCATTAATCTTTTACTAACATGCATAGTTGTTAAAGTTGACCGGGAGGTAATAGGTGAGTATTTAAAATGTGATGTTATTTCCTGTCGAACCTAGTCAGAGATTAAACTTGTTGTAAACTTGTTGCCATGTCTCAAATTCTTCACACGTCTAGACTTGAGGACATGGTGATAAAAATCGTTGTAAATGATATTTACAATGTTAGCAAAACTGATATTTAAAGGAAACATTTAACCTGTTTTCTTCAGTCCTGGATCAGGTCAGATGATGCTTCTCTGTGTTGTTTCTTCTATGTCAGGAAGTCCCAGAGGCTGAACAGCAGCCAAACGAATCTGATGTGCTGACTGAAGAGCAGAAGAAGCAGCTCGGAGAGCTGCAGCTCTTCAAGAATAAAGAGGGCAATGTCTCCATTGAAGTAAGTTTATACTTACTGGATCCCTTTATGACATCAATTAACACTCATGTAATGCCCTTACCCGTTTCCTTAACTTCTGTAGGTGATAGATGATACAAAAGAGAAGAGGACACTGGTTCACAAAGCCATCAAGACCCAGTTTCCTGGTCTGGAGACTAAGACAGAAGAAAAGGAAGGGCGCAAGTTCATAGTGGCGTATCACGCTGCTGGGAAGAAAGCTCTAGCAGGTATGTAGAGAGGCGACAGAACAGCGAGCGAGTCTTAGCCCGTCTGTAACCAGTCAATTAATTTAAAGATCAGAGAGAGGATTTATTGCATGTTGTTTTTTGTCTGCTGCAATGCATGTGGTCACAGCTGAAATCCAGAGCAGTAAAATACAATGCATGCTCTTGTGCGCATGAGCATGATCCACACACCTGCATGATTCTGCCCAGATCTTTACTCATAGTGGTTTTTTTAACCAGCAGCTTTTGGTTATGGACTGACCTTGTTTTTCAGTGGAATGCTCTGATTGAGATTATGACTTGGTTTGGTCAGACCAAACGCTATAAACAAAAATAAGGAAAGCAGAGACACAATATCATGGTGCATTGGGGAAAAAAAAAAAAACCTGCACCTTTGTTGCATAAACCATTTAAATCCCACGCTCCGCTCTCAGGCCCGTGCATGAGACCTCACCTCTGACAACTCGCCCCACAGTCCATAAGAATCTCTTTCTTAGTAACATTATTCTATCCTCCTTTTGCTCTTCTCTGGTGGATAGAGGTCAAAACAACTGCAGGTAAGAACCTATTCTCCACACAGCACAGAGGAAGTGGTTAAAACCCGCATTGAGTTGTGTGTTGGTAACTAGTTGTGCTTAAAATACTCTTTTAATTTCCATCTCGTCTTGCAATATAGTGATTGAAAATGATCTTGATTAAAAGCTGAGGTTTTTGGCACAAAGATGGTTTTGATTGTGGTAACCATGCTCAGAATTGTATGGAAGTATAAAATGTTTAAGAGTATAGCAGGAATATTGGGAAATGATTAAAAAAAAAAAAAAAAAAAGTTTTTGTATTCTTGCGCTGTATTTCAGTCCAACTTTTTTTTTTCTGTGTCCATAAAAGCACCAAGGAAACACTTCTGGCCCAAAAACCGTGGCAGTTTTTGCCACTTTGTCCTGTACAAGGAGAATAAAGACACCATGGACGCCATCAATGTGCTTTCAAAGTTCCTCAGGTGTGATTGCAGCACTTTTCATTTGCTTTGTAACAAAGTGATCATTTAGCAATCGGAGATAGACCAATAGTCTATTTGCCCAATGAAATGTTTGTAGTAGAGAACCATTATATGTATGACGATGCATTTCTTTCTAGGCTCAGACCCAACATGTTTTCCTACATGGGAACCAAGGACAAGAGAGCCATCACTGTGCAGGAGATTGCTGTGCTCAAGTGAGTTTGTGTGATACTGAAGGGAAATCACTACACTTTAGTGCTGTTTTTTTTTTTTTTTCAAATTTTCTGAGGATGATTGTGAATGGCTGATACTGAATATGTTTCATCCTGCCGGTGCAGGAGGTGTCTCTGCTGTTATCAGGCAGATGATCTGTGGATGAGCTCGTTGCTCTGGAGCAGTAATTAAAGAAATCTTTCCTCTGTGTCCCAACAGGATCACAGCAGAGAGGTTGGCTCACCTCAACAAGTGCCTCATGAACCTCAAGCTGGGAAACTTTAGCTACAAAAACCATCCTCTAAAGCTTGGGGAGCTGCAGGGAAACCACTTCACTGTGGTCATCAGGTCAGACCGGAGTTTTGTTAACCTCATTCCTGTGATTTGCTGTGGATGCTGAGTAGCTGTAAACTGGAGGACACATCCAGACAGTTGAAATCTTAATGAAAATTAGTAGTAGTAGTAGTTGGGTAGTTTGCTAACAAAAAGAGGGGAACATACTACACAATAGAAACGAGTCTTACCTCAAATTTGGGCTACCTAACTACGTTGCAGGACCACGTTTAAATTTGTTCATATTCTAGTTCTCTGATGTAATCGTTATGGTCAAAGTGCACTCGCTAACAAACACTGCGTCTACGAGACTATGACTGACGGATAAGTAATAAACTGGTACCTCAGTGTGAGTCTTGTAGCATTCTCCTGGGGTTAAATTAATTCACTTTCACCGCCATGTCGGTGAACTCTCAGATCTGTGGGCGAAGTCCCCCCGGATTTTTATTTAAATTTGGAAATCCCTTTTATGTAGTGTTTCTTTTAGTTTTGCTTCTTGCCTCCATTTTGTAAAAAAGATACAGTATTCTCTCTGAACATACTGTGTCTAGTGTGTGTTAACACTGTATAACATGTTGATGTCCTTGTGTATCAGGAACATCTCAGGAACAGATGAGCAGGTCCATCAGGCCCTGACATCCCTCAAGCAGACAGGTTTCATCAACTATTATGGCATGCAGCGCTTCGGCACCACAGCTGTGCCTACGCAGCACGTCGGCAGGTAAGGTCGTGACATAGAAACACTGGCATGAATTATGACAGGATGGTTTATTCAAGTGTTGTTTTCTCCTTTTGTTACGGACAGAGCCATCTTGAGAAATGACTGGAACGAGGTGGTGGATTTGATTCTGAAGCCTCGTCCTGGAGGTAACAAACTTTGATTTATTTTTTATTTTTTACTCTATTTTATTCCCTCTGTAAAGTATTTAAAATTTCCCTCCATCTTTATTGCTCTCTTCAGCAGAGAAAGAGTTCCTGGTCCGCTGCAGGGAGGAGTGGGCGAAGACTCAGGACCCGGAGGCAGCCCTGAAAAAGCTGCCCAACAAGCGCTGTGTGGAGGGGCAGCTGCTGCGAGGCCTGTCTATGTACGGCAAGAAGAACATCGTCACCGCCTTTGGACTGGTTGGTTTTATGCTAATAATGGTACAACATGAAAAAGAGTCCAAAGTAGGGGTGTCGAGTAGCTCAGTTGGTTGAGCATCCGCCCCATATGCAGAGGCTAAGGTCCTCGCTGCAGTTGACCCCGATTCGAGTCCCGCATTGGACGGCCCTTTGCTGCATGTCATTCCCCCTCTCTCTGCCTCCCCATTTCCTGTCTCTCTACTGTACTGTCAATAAAGGCATAAAAGGCCCAAAAAAAAAAAAAATAGTTACCAAAAATACCAGTTACATTGGGCAGATGCCATATAACCGGATGAATGAGATAAAGCAGGATGCTACTAGAGCTCTCAATACATTTACACATTAACCAACGTTTTATTTACATCCAGCAAGAAAGGTTTCTACTCTCTCTGATGACTGCTGTTTTCTTTCTCCCCCACAGATCCCCCGTAACAACCGTCTGATGTACATCCACAGTTACCAGAGTGTGGTGTGGAACACGATGGTGAGCCGGAGGATCGAAGCCTTCGGCCTGAAGGCGGTTGAGGGGGACCTGGTGCTCAGAGGAAGTTAGTGGTTCATCTTTTCTTTCAGCTCACTAATGTTGATTTTGACATTTTGGGAAATAGGCCTTTTTTCTTTCTTATCTGAAAATCCCAATTTTCTAGTGTTTGATTGGATTAAACAAAAAAGAAATGACATTTTAACAGGTCTGGTAGGCAGATTTAGTTCCTCTGACCGAGCCAGGCTAGCCATGTCCATCTGTTTTCAGTCTTTATGCAACACTAAGCTAACATCATATTTTACATACAGTCAGAGCATATTATTGATGCTCATTTAATTTTCAGCTAGACAGCAAATATGCATTTCTCACAATGCTTTTCACTGTAGCTTCTTTAAAGAATCTTATCCAAAGAATCTTAAATATATTAAACATTTTAACTAATAAACTGTAAGTGTTTTCCAAAATGTTATTATTATTATTATTATTATTTTGTAGGTCCTCCAAAATCATCCAAAACAAAGCATTTCCAATTTGTCAACCTGCTATTATCCGAATTAGGTTTATAGGAGATATAATATTGCAGATTTCCAACCAATAATCAGTGTCGTTTGACCGACTGTGGCAAATATCAAATCATGTAAAATGTGTGTAATAATCATGGGATTATTGACTATTGACGTTGTCTGTGATCTGTTCATGAAGCCACAGCACATGTGCTGTCTGCAGAGGAGGCTGAGAGTCACACCATCCACGACATTGTGATGCCACTCCCTGGGTTTGACGTCATCTACCCCACTCACCACGGTAAGAAGCGGCTCTGTGTGATTTTGATAGCTGTAAAATTAACATTGGGTGGTTTTAACACCAATAATTACACGAATATGGTCACACATGGTTCCTCTATCTTACACACCCAGACACTCACCCGAGGGGCTTTTAAACTCTTTTAATCTTAAATGGGTAAAAATGTTAACAAGAAAACTGCTGATAAAAAGCATGAAAGAAATGTACAACAAAATAAACATATCAGAACTGACTACAAGAAGAAACAGGATTAAAGGAACGTATTAAGTGAATCTACAGCAGAAACATAAATGAAAGGAAAATATTAAATATTTGAATTAGTTGTGTTGCATCATCAATAATTGTTATGTGTTTCTGTCAGTGGGTAAAGGTTACAGGGAGCTGCTCTCTGCAGACAAGCTGGACATCGACAACATGAGGCACAAAGTGAAGGACTACTCTCTGGCTGGAGCCTACAGACGCATCATCATCAGACCCAGCGATGTCAGCTGGTTAGCAGACTTCTCTAGTGTCTTATCTTTAAATGCACCAACACTTAAAGTAATGCAGCTGTTAATTGCGTACTGCAGTTATTTCAGTGCTGTAATTGTGCATAGTGGTCTATATAAACCGGTGTGTTGTGGTGTTTCTGTCTGTTGTGTGCAGGGAGGTGATTCAGTATGACGACCCCAGGATCTCCCTGGTGCACAGTGATTTTGAGAAACTGGAGAACAAACCTGCCCCAGTCTTCAACAAAGGTAAGTTCATGTTTGCCTGTTTGTCTTTAAACTGCTTCTGGGTAGATCTGTGGACTACCATCAAATGTTTTTTCCCAATGTGATTCAGTTAAAAGCCTTTTCTGGGAATTTATTACGGATAGTAGAGAGGAAATGAGGGAGAGTCAACAAAGATTTCCGGCAAGACTCAGAAATGTAGCTGTTCATGGTCGTGAATCAGTTTATGCAGCTAGTTGGACACTTATAAATAAATGTATTATTATTGTTATTACACGTGTAAAACTGTAGGAGATCAGTTTAAACAGATTTTGTCCAGATTTTATTTCTTGCTCCAAAGAAAACAGTTTTCTTGTAACAGCAGGTTACAGTAAATAAGGTCCACTGAAGGGCAGCTCAAAATACGCTTCTACTTCAAAGAAGATGGGGGGAAAAATGGTGACACAATGCAAATTAGTTGCTGAGCATGCAGCAGAGGTCTTCAAAGTTATTGAAAAATAAAAACAATAAATGGTCAAACTGAAGCATGTTGATGCTGTTTTCACCCACAAAAATCCTCAAAATCTTCACTGGTAAGATTTCACATTTTCTGTTGTTTTTTAAAGAAAAACCAGATCTATTAAGACAAGGACACGCAATAGCTGGGCTGTACCATGTCCATCAGTTTTCTAGAGCAGAAATAATAAATTTTTCAAGCAGTAATGCCAAATAGTTGATGTCCCAGCATGAGAAATTGCTGCTTGTTCTTGTTTTGCATCATGGTAAACTGGATATCTTTGGATTGTAGACTGTTGGTCGCACTAAACAATATGTTTCTAACGCCACCTCAGGCTCTGAGAAATTTCCTTTTTCACTGTTTTCTGACATTTAATTGATTATTGGAGAAAATAATTAGCAGATTAACCCATAATGGAAATAACTGTTGGTTGCAGCCCTGTGGTTTTTCCTTTTTCAACTTCGATGATGGTGGCATACGCTTAAAAAGCCAATAATATGTAAATATTATAAGGTGTAAAGATGCATGAATGAGGAGCCTCATGTCTTGACTCCATAAAATAGATATCAAGAGGACAAGGTTGTTTGTAGGGCAGTAACTAACGATTATTTTTATTATTACCTGTTGATTATTTTGTCAGATTAATGTCAGAAGATTGAAAAATGTCCATCACAGGTTCTCATAGTCCAGTGAGACAAAATATCTTGTTTTTGTCCCAAAACCCAAAGATATTAATTTAACTAATTGTTACATTTTGAAAAAAAAAAAAGAACTGATTATCTAAATAGTTTCAGATTAATGTTGCATACATACAATACAGTGTTTCTTTCCATTATCCAACAGAGGGGAAGTACCGGGCTCTGCGGATGGAGTTTTCTCTGCCTCCTTCAACGTATGCTACTATGGCAATCCGAGAGGTCCTCAAGTTGGACACCAGCATCAAAAAACAGACGCAGCTCAACACCACCTGGTTCAACTGAGACTAAAACACACTCCGGCATTGACCAGACTGCTGCTGCAGGCTGCAAAACACCCGACTACTGTGGCTACTAACTGTTGTGAGTGTTTTAAGTGTATTGTGTGTGAGAGAGTTAGTGAGTGAGTGATTGGGTTCTATATGAACCCAAAGTACAAAGAGCAACAGATACCATTATTCAACTGCTTCTTTTTTTTAAATAATGTTTTTACTTGTTCTAAAAGGTTTCATTGCTGCAACGATTCAGCATCTTTTGACAGCGACTTAAGTCAGCCCTGTGCTTTCAGGGTGCTCTCACATACAGTAATCCCTGCTGCACAGGCTGAGCAGCATGCCTGGTTTGTACAGAAATGGGTTTTTGCTTTTTTTTTTGCTTTTTTTTTTTTTTTTTAATTGAATGAAAAGAGAAATAAAAACATTATTTAAAGGTTGAGTTTACCATGTGCAGTCTGTCTTTGATTGTTATTGTTAATGTGATGCTGTGTCTTAACTTGGTTTCTTTCGATCATGAGGGTTTTAGAAATAGTTCTATGTAGTAATAATCTTTTTATACAGAAAGACAAGGGTGTGTCTCCCCCACAGAAAGCCTTTTAGCCACTAATGTGACCTACACTGTCTCCCTCTACTGGCCGTCAGAGCTAAGTGTCTCTCCATTGAAGGATCTGAAATGTATTTTGGGCTCTTTATCAGTCTGCTGCTGGTCAAAACAGACACTGTGGAGCTGACCATCTGGCACTGTGGCATATGCCAGCTGGCAGGACCCAGCTGCCTCCTCAAACCAAATGCGATTACTAATCATATCACTCACCCTGGGGCCATGTCTGCCCTCCTAGTTTTGGATCATTTCTTTATTTTTATGTTTTGATGGTAATGTTTGTAGCATCTATGACCTGCTGTACCAAAGCACAACTAAAGAGGTCTGACTAGATCCCGAGGAATCACATGACCAGAGTCACCAAAAGAGGTAATGGGAGAAACATTATTATTCATTTTTACATCTCACTTTATTTAAACTCAATTTTTATCATGGTGTTGTTCATGATCCAAATGTAAACAAAAGGGTTTCCCCACCACAAACACAGAACCCACTTCATTACTGCTTTTTATTCTGATCAAGAAACACATTATCACATCTAGAAGTAAAATAAATAAGTAAAATATGCATTATGTTAATATCCTTGTAATTTATAGGGAAAAAACTCCAAAGTGAAATGGGGATATTGTCTCGGTTTTTGCTGAATTTGTCTTGAGTCTCACAAAGAGGAGCAGAGTAATGCTGCAGCTTAAGAGGCTGGATGTGAAAATGTAAAACTCTTGGTCTAATCTGTCTGTGCTGAACAAAAGGCTTACACAGGCAGGTGTAGTTCCCAGTCATGAAGAGGATAAGATAAAGTGAATGAAGAGTACAACCCCGTATGCTGTGGGTTTATCATAGTGAGCGTATGCACAACAAAAGCTTGTTAAGCTTCTCCCATCTAATACAACACAATTGAAATTATAACCAAGGAAAATATATGGAGAACTAGTAAAGTTTCAAATATTACTTGAGATTTTTATTTCATATGCCAACATTGGGGACCGTACATTTTGTATGTCACAAAACCTAAGCTCAAAGCTCCACTTAGTAGCTTTTCAGAGCTTTCAGCCACATCATCTTCAGGTCTTCTTCAGTAGAAATGCATCTCTGAAAAGCCAGTAAGTGAGATTATCCTGTTCTACTGCGTATTTTTCTTTTTCAACAAAATCTACAGAGTAAGTAATGGGTAATATAAATAAAGATTAGTGTAGTTATTAAGCAAATCAGGGTGCTAGTGGTGAGAAGAACATGTCAGGCCCAAGCAAAATCAAATTATTTCTTAAATGTGAAACCCACAGAGCAATTACCTGCAAAACTTAATTGTATAATGGAAATCAAAGCTATGTGCGCCACTCGTTTTATTTAATAGATCAATTTAAATGAATATTATTAATATTATTATATGATATTATGAAATGATTAATTCTTAATCAGCTGCTAAATGTTGCATCCTACTGACAGTGATGTAAATATGAAGCTATACTAAATCTGATGGACCATCCTCATGTTTTCAAGGCAGGTGCAGGGCACTGTTGGCACTATTAGGAGGCACACAGTTGTCATAGAAGATCTGGAAAGAGCTTTCAACATAAGTGACCTTCTTCAGGAAGTCCTCCAGCTGCTGCACCGTCATCTCCTGAACCCTATTATTCTCGCTGTCGTTGAGCCCGTAAGCTGCAAACGTTGGCAACTTGGAGCGCTCAGAGTACGGTGCATTGTGGTCAAAATCAATACAACAGTAGGCCGACCAGAGGTAGGTGGGGATGCCCAGGCGGTTGATGTTATGGCGGCGGATTGTGTGACCCGAGGTGGTGATCCCGGTGACCACATAGGCGCTGCCTCGGCAGTAGTTGTTGAGCCGCCTGCGGATGGTGTGCTCGTGCATTTTCCAGGGACCAATGTTGAACTCTCGCACCTGAGGGACCACATTTGTCAGAGTGTAGGTGGCTGCCTTGTCGTCGGGATGGGCCTGGTGCTCGTCTGGATTCAGCTGTCCACGCTCGAAGATGACAGTGTTAGAGTAGTCGTCGAGGACGGCCTGTGCATCTTCAAAACTCTTATGAATGTTTTCAGAAGGGAACTGCTGCATGTCTCTGGGGCCGGACACTGTGGACAGCTGCCAGGATGAACAATGTCATTATTAAAAAGCAAAAAAATCTGTTTACAATACAGTAAATAGATTACAATAAATAGATGACCAAATATGACTAATTCCTGAAGGGTTGCTCCAAAATCTCTTCCCATACACACCTGAAATTTTTCCTATTTAAAGTCCTAAGCTGCATAAACAGCAAATACAAAAACCACCCCTACCTGTGGCTCATACATCCAAGGCACATCTACCTTCTTGGAGCCGTCTGAGCGCTTGAAAATGTACGCAGAATAAACAGGGATGTGGTTGAAGGTGTCATACAGAGTCACAAATCGAGGTTTTCCCTCATAGAACTGGCAGATCTTCTTGAACGGCTGCTCCTCGAGCCCTCGAGGCAGTGTGCCCATGTACAGGAACTGTTTACACTCAGGAGAGAAGCTTTCCTGCACCTCAGCTCCTGCCATCACAACGATAACCAGGCAGATCAGGCCTCGATATGTTATGTGGGCAATCATGACGAAAAGAGTGCAGTATGTCCCCGCGGTGCATTTAATCCCTCTGAAAAGCTGTCCTGCTTTGTGGAGTCAGCCTCATACCATCTCAGGCATATTATGCAAATTCTTATCTTTCTCCCTGTACAAGTGTTCAAACCATTACCATGTTTGAAAAGCCAGTAACCAGCAGCAGTAGCCTTCACCGGCACAGCCAACTCTTTTCAGGGTTGTAGTTCGGCTGGGAATTATGTGAGGCTGCCAAAAGCCATGAAGTAGTCCCACTGTAGTAGCTGTAAAAAAAACAAAAAAAAACAGAACAGGAATGTGACAGTGTCAGTGAAGAAAAGTGCACAGGCACGAAAAATAGCATTAATGATGATTCTCTTCCATTAAAGTATTCCTGTAAGCCCTTTTAACTAATAACACCTGTGATTTACCTGCAATGACAAGTCAGAATGTCTGCTGAGTGTCTGCACCGTCCTGAGAGGTGATGTAATGAACCAAAAGAAGTGAGAACACTTGTGTTCTAGGGGCTTTAACAACATCTCAACTGTGATTAAAGCCAAATTTTAAGGACAATGCAGTCATTTAATATGTTTAATGTTTCAGATCTTGAATTCAAGCCTATTGCTAATTTTGGATGAACAGAGGTTACAGCTGACCGCACTAACTCCATCTGTGCCAAAAGCCTTTTATAGGCATATTATGACATCTTTTATGAAGCTGGCTTAGAGAATGGTTGATCAAGCACACCCAGCATAGAAAAACTTCCTGGTGGCTCCGTCCACTGTAACTGTCAAAACAAAAAAATTAACACTCTCTGCATCGTGCTAAGTATAGAAACAATATTTTTTACAATCTTGAAATGTTCCATAATAACATTTTGAGTAATTACCGTGAAACATTTTTTAAACTTATATATAAGTGCTGTCTTACAGCACAATGTGCATCTCTATTGGTCCAACCCTGTTGTTTCCCACTGTGACGCTCAGCCACTGTTTCCTCCTCAATGAATGTTATATTTACTCTTTCTTTCTTTCCCTCTCAGTAAGTACAGTTGTGTGTGTGTGTGTGTGTGTGTGTGTGTGTGTGTGTGTGTGTGTGTGTGTGTGTGTGTGTGTGTGTGTGTGTGTGTGTGTGTGTGTGTGTATACACACTGGCATGTCTCAGTGAGAGAAAAGACCAATGTTTTTTAGAAACATCTGTTTCCATAACAACAGGTTGATGGCAGCGTGACCTCTGCCCCTATAGAAACAAACACTTCCTGTTTACATGTTGGATCATCTTCAGTGTTTACACAGTAACCCCATGCTGACCTAGTATCTGTCCATCCATCCATCTTAGATGTAACGGTAACTGTGGTTGAGAAACAGCATTTAAAATCGCCATTATTTTAAAGCAGACCTACATCTCTTGTATGAAAAGAGCTCTATAAATAAAGTGCATTATTTTTCATTATTATTAGAATCTCCCAGGAACAAAAAGAAAAAAAAGAAAAGTCTCTAATGTCCCATGAAAACTATGTTTTATTATCATCTTCTAGGTTGAAGTTACGATGATGTCGACATCTTCTTTGAGAGACTTGTCACAGTGGAGACAAGTGAGGAGCTGCTGAGTACAAGATATGAGGACTCTTTATTTACTACCTGGAAACCTTGGATTCTGTTGACCTTTACTTTTAATAAATGCCTGTTAACCTGAATAAAACTGAATGATGAGTACACTGCTTTCAAAACTGGTGGGCTGGAAAAAGCCTGAAACAGCATTTAACCTATGCGACATATAAAACTGTCATTGAACAGATTTGTTTTGTGCTGTGAAGTGGCAGCCTCCTTATGGCGAGAGACAACACAGCTGTGAGTGAGCATCTACTTTCATCTGAAAACCTTTCTTTTTGTTACACCGGGTGTATACAGATCATGGTGTGAAGGCCTTTTTTTCTTTACATGTATTCATGAAGGCTGCCTCACACACACGTCCACTCCTCTACTCTGACATTGTGGTCTGACGATGCGTGTGAGGGCTGTTAGCTGTTGTTTGTCCTCAGTGTGAGTTGTTACATTTGACCTCCGTGTGTTTGAACGTGTGAGAATCCGGGAACAAAGAGTGTGTGTGTGTGTGTGTGTGTGTCTCGCTTGTGTACTGTCATGTGCGTTTGGATGTGTTTGTGTCTGTGCACAGAGAATATGAGCAGCACAGAGAATCGGGGTGGGATCTGTTTGTGTGTCTCGAGTTTGTGTGTGTTCACAGAGGGGGGGGGTTATTGTGTCTCTCGGGAGGGGAGTGTGTTTGTGTTGAGCGGGGGGTGTTTGCAGGTCTCGTAACTCTCTGCAGGGGTGGTCTGGGTTTAAGAACAAGAGAAAGGAGGGCCCTGTGTGTGTGTGTGTGTGTGTGTGTGTGTATGTGTGTGCGCTCCTATGTATATATATTCAGACTTAAGAAGAAGACACACCTTCCTCAGCTGACACAGTATAGATGCAGAGATTGAGAGACAGTGAAATGAGAGGAGACGGGATGAGAGGGCAGAGGCTGACTCTTGCTCCTCAATGATCATCACACAGTTATAAGAATTTCCGAGAGGATTTCATCAAAGCTGCAGCCTGAGGTAAGTGTCTGTAGAGAGCCTCATCGTGAGTCCTCACAGGACTTGGCCCTTATTTAGGATAACTTTAGTGTTTCCATTTCATCTGACTTTATATGTCTACTCAGATCCCTTTTTTTTTGTTACTGCCTTGGTGTCTGATGTGATGCAGCGCCTTTAAAGGTTTTCTTGAATTTGTGCCCTCTCCAGTGTGCAGTAAGAATAAAAAGCTGTGAGCTTAAAGGTGGCAGCAAAGTCACAGAAGGTGTTAAAATTGTTTTTTTGAAAAAGGAGTAGGATGAGCATCAGAGGAGCTAAAATTACATGCGGTAACATTTTGGGGGTTGTTTGCAGGACAGATTCATCTTAGACTAAACTCCCTGACTAATCTGTGTGAAGCTAAACTTTGACTTGTTGTTATAAGCTATGCATGTAGAGTATTTACAGTGTTTGCTTCTGTGGGAAAGGTGTATGAATCTCACCACATGTCACTTTATTTTCAGAACATCTGAGACGAGGTGAAGAAGGAGATGTGAAAGTGAAAAAGGGGACCACCAATTCACAACTGGAACCAGGACCCAAAACCTCATATCTAAAACAGTTGTACCAGTGCAGGAGTTTTGACCTTTCGCTTCTAATCGACTTCCTAATAACTTCCATCTCACCAGGAAAGCACTGCAGCCTGCTGTGATTTTAATGGAAACTCATTTTATGTAAAAACACAGGAGATGGACAGACAGATGTCAGATGCTGACCTCATCATCTCCCCCTCTCCCTCTCCCCCTCCCCTCTTCCACTGCGACTACACCGACTGGTCTCCCTCCTTCTCCATCATCCCATCTGTCTACCTGCTGGCTTTCCTGGTTGGTTGCCTCGGCAACACCCTGGTGCTCTGGGTCTACCTGGACCGAGCTGAGGGGAGGAGAACAAGGACCAGAGAGAAAAAACAAACTGGAGTTGGAAGGCTTTGTTGCGCCCACATTTTCAGAAGCAGTCAGCAGAACATTGACGGACCTGGTAGAGTTCAGCATGAGAAAGAAAACTGTGGATTTTCCTCGGGACAAAACTACAGACCCTCTTCTCACTCCTCCTCCTCCACCTCCTCCTCCAATCCTCCCTCCATGCCTCGCCCCTCTCGCTCACTGACAGACTCTCTGATAGCCAGCCTGGCGTTGGCTGACCTCTGCTTCCTTGTGACCCTCCCTCTGTGGGCCGTCTACACGGCCATGGGTTACCACTGGCCCTTTGGGCAACCCCTCTGCCAAATCAGCAGCTTCCTCACTGCTCTCAACATGTATGCCAGCGTGTTCAGCCTGAGCATGCTCAGTGTGGAGCGGTACTGGGTTCTGACCGGACGCCGCCACTCCGGCCACCATGCCCCGCAGAGCTGCCCCAGCAGGGCTTTGTGGATACTCGGGGGAGTGTGGGCGCTGGCGGGGGTGTTGGCGCTTCCTGGTTTGCTGCTGCGCTCCGTTCAGGAGGTGGAGCTAGACTCTGAATCTGAGGATGATTGGCAGCTAGAGCCTGCTGACTCTGGATCAGTCTTCCTGTCCTGCCAGATGGATTACTCCATGCTGATGGGAGCAGAGCTGGAGGAGGCAGAAAAAGAGAGGGCAGAGATGTGGTGGACGGCCGCCCTGAGTCTTAAATCAACTCTAATTGGCTTCCTGCTCCCTCTTGTCATCTTGCTGGTCTGCTACTGCTCACTGGCCCAGCTCCTCAGCAGGCATTTTGGACAGGGCCCTCGCCCTGACCGCAGACGTCAGCGCAGACTCCTCAGGGTCATTGTCACTTTAGTGATGGCCTTCTTTCTGTGCTGGCTGCCCCTGCATGTTAATAAGACTGTGTCCATGCTGCTGGAGTTTGGTTTTGTCCCATACTCCTGTTCTTTAGATCAGATTTTACTGGCTGCTCAGCCCTACGTCACCTGTTTAGCTTACCTCAACTCCTGCCTTAACCCTCTCCTCTACGCTGCCTGTGATCCCTCTTTCAGGAAGAGATGCAGAGGAGCTCTCCTCATACTGTGTAGAACAAGTAGAAGAGGAGCAGAGGGAGCGAGGGAGGGAAAGAAGGATGAAGGAGAGGAAGAGAAAGAAGAGAGGAGCTCAGCTTTTCCCACAAGAACACAGGAGGAAACAGCAGACAGGACAGTGGAGGAGATGGTGGGGGAGGTGGGTGGCATGGTGGCTGAAGGGTGAGAGGCCACAGGAACGATGGCTCAACTTCTAAGAATATAACTGTCTACAAATGAAAAGGTTAACCTTAAATCTAATTTTACCTTGAAATGTGAAGACATCAAGTTATACTGTTGCTTAAGAACAGTAGCACTATGTGACAGTCATTTTTGAACTTGTGTTGTTGTTGAAGGCAATTGACGCCTACAACAGACTCAGACTCTGGAAGACATGGTGTCAAATGTCAATATTTTCAAAATAAACATCTTCCATCATATGTACATTTATAATTATAATTCACTGTCTCCAGTCCGAACATTTCCCACGGGAAAGATGCCACCACTTCCCCAGAGATGGTCCTTGGCTAAAGAAAATATTCTGGTCATATGATCTGTTTCTATATTTTAGCTATACCCTGAATTGTTTATTGATTTTTGTTGCACTGTTTTTATTGTAGTTTCCCCATTAAAAATGCATCCTGTAAACTCACATTTTTCTTTTTTTTGATTGACGTTTTTGACTTTTCTTCATTACATGAAAAGGAGGTATATAGACATAGTAACACATGTAAAAAGAAACAAAAAAAATCCTGGCTAAAGGTTCCTAGGTTGATATGAGTGTAGAGTATGTTTAGATTACACTGAGGTGTAAAGTGAGTGGAGGCAAACTCTGATGAAGAAACCAGTTCGTAGAGAAATGAAAGAGGAAGCAAAAATATCAGCTAAATAGCAGCACCATGGATGTATTTCTCCTTTTTATTTCAAAGAATACTGTTACTAACAGTCTGCACGGAACCTGCAACCTCAAGGTCCCCCGCACCCCGCCCACAGGGTGGCGCTGATGATCCATTGAACTGTTAGACAACCGCCATGAAACTAGTTTGACTTGAGGACTTGACTCATGTCCACATACTGCCTACCACACTGTTTAAATTGTGTTATGCAGAATATAAGGGAGCTACTTACGCTGAAAGTCGGGAAGTCTGGATAAAGCTGCTTACTAATCGATTCACTTTGAAATTTGTTCGTGCACAGTTTATATTAGAAACAGTCTGCCACAGGAAGACACTGCTGCACTGCAGAAACGCTGGTGCATGTGTTGCAGTCCCGCTGCTGGACTGGTTTGAGAAGTAATGAAGATGGGAACAGCGTTAATCTATGATGAGGAGATGACCAATTACAAACTGCTCTGGGTTGAGTAAGTATACACACAGTTTGGTGCATACTGCAGAGCTAGCTGTTAGCTTGCTAATCAAATGAACTTGGATGAATGTAACCTGAGCTTTCCAGTGTTTATCCACTGGTTAACTGTCGCTACACTTAACATATTTTCATCCCTCTGTGCTCAGAGACTTTTAACTGTTCGTGCAGGTAACGTTACTTAACTACTGTAACGTCAGGTAAGATAACTGCTACGAGCTATAATCTTAGGGAAACCAAAGTGTAATGGGTTAAATATTTGATCATTTTATTGCACGAATTACTAAGTAATTGATTTAATAATTAGTGTCCTCTAATTATTTAACGCATTCTCTATTGCGTTAAATTACTCTGATGGTAGGAACTGAAGTTGCAGATTGTTGTTGCTAGTCCAGTCGCTTAGTGAAGAGCACCAACTTCCGTTAGCTCCCTAAGCTAACAGCTATATCAATGTGCCCTCAATTTACTAAGTTGAACTTCAGTCCTCATTTTCTCGTCATTGTTTTTTTTCATATGGTTTTATTGTTGCTCTGCACTTTGTTTTAGCACTTTTATTTTACTTCTTGCTGTGTCTGTTACACTTACAGCTGTATTCATTCAGTTCAAAATAAACAAAACTGCAAATCCAAATGTTCGATTTTGGGTATACATCGGTATTTTGGCAGTCAAACACAACGTTAGCGTAACTTTGACATAATTTCACACATTTTAAGTGAGGTTCTTGTGTTTGGGTTGGTGCCATATGTTTTGTGTGCACATTAAACACACAGTTACAGTTATAGTTGATGGTTGATGATTTGCATTGAAAGTTAACTGTGAAACTGCTTTTTAACTGAAATAAAAATACATAAAAACATTGTCAGTACATATTCTTCATTATGTCTTATTAACACTGAAGACTTGACTTCTTCCGTCACATTTCATTTGTTAAATGGTTTTTAAACTGTTTGTGCAAAGAACTGGCAAAGATTGCAAAAAAAAATTTGAAACTACTAATTTAGTAAATTTTGTAAAACCTTAATTTCACATGCTCAAAAACAAAACCAGTTGTCCCTAGTTAGCATTCACTACTTCACATACACATCTAGAACACAAGTCAACACAGAATTCAAACCCCTGTGTCTGAAATGTTTCTCTTTCTCCAGTCCAGCATGTAAGATCGAAGTACCTGAGCGTCTGACAGTGAGTCATGAAGCTTTGGTCAAGAGCAGTCTGGCTGATCGCTGTGTGTCCGTACCGGTACGTGAGGCGACAGATGCAGACATTCTGCTGGTTCACAGGTCAGTCCTGATCTTGACAAAGATCTCCCACCTGGTTCAGTTTGTTCTACTAATTCTGGTCATGCAGCTGAGATAAAATACTTATAATCACTCTGTTACGTGCACTTTTTCTGGTACCGACAGTGAGGAATATCTGGAGGCAGTGAAGAAGACCCCTTACATGACTCTGGAGGACCTGAAGGAGTTCACCCTCCAATACGGCGACGTCTACTTCCACCCAGTTAGTCCAAAACTCAAAGATACTCATTTGTATCTCATTTTTGTTCATTAATTAATTGTAATTCAGTGGTAAAGTAATTGATTCTCATTAACTCTCTTAGAACATCTATCACTGTGCCAAGCTGGCTGCAGGAGCCGCTCTGCAACTGGTGGACAGTGTTATGACGGGGAAGGTGAGGAATGGCATGGCTCTGGTCAGGTGAGGCTGTTTAAGCAGTGAGACACAGCAGTCCTGATATGTACTCTGATGCTGCATTGAGTGTTTGACTGAAAGGATTAGGTACTGTTAACAGAGGTGAAATGGATGCGATGGTAGAAGTCAACAGAGATATTTTATTCAGGATAGAATTGGCTTGTGGTCAAAAGACGTGTGCACATTGTTCCACAACTGCAACATTTGTCTTTCGAGAGAATCTGTGTTTGCTCAGAGTAAAGAGCAGTGATGAGATATGGACTGAACCAAAACATTGAGGATTATAAAATATAAACTGGTACTGAGAATCATGTTGTATTTAATTTATCTAAAAAGTGAAGATCTTTATGGTTCCAGTTGAAATGTGTCATTTAACTTCTCTGTCACAGACCACCAGGACACCACAGTATGCGCAGTGCTGCCAATGGTTTCTGCGTGTTCAACAATGTGGCCATAGCAGCTCGATATGCAAAGCAAAAATATGGAGTAAAAAGGTGACGTGACTTATTTTGTTTGTTAATTCTGGAAGAACGTACTGTATTGATTCTGTCTCCATATATTTATTTACGTCTTTGTGTTTTTTCAGGGTGTTGATAGTTGACTGGGATATACATCATGGTCAAGGGGTCCAGTACTGTTTTGAGGATGATCCAAGGTGAGCCTCTGAAGGATCCTGAATTGTTCATGTGGATGTTGTCTTGTCTTCTGCCATAATAAATTCTGCATGCTACATTTTGCCCCAGCGTGCTCTACTTCTCATGGCACCGCTATGAGCATCAGAAATTCTGGCCTCAACTTAGAGAGTCAGACTTTGACAATGTCGGCAAAGAGAGAGGGGCTGGATTCAATATAAATGTGCCATGGAACAAGGTGAGTAACCACTGAAATTATTATTGTTATGTACTTGTTAATTGGTTAGGCCGCCTTTATACAAATGTTTCTTGCTTCATCTTGGACTCTATTTTTTTATGTTGACAAAATAAGAAAGCAAAAAACAAAATAATGGAAAGAGAGTAAATGTGCTGATGTGTAGTAAAATTAATAGCATTTTTCTAGAAATGTTACAAAAAATTAAATGAAAAAACAGCACAAAGATAATTTTTAACATGTTACGCTTAAGGCTGCAACTTATATTGATTATTAGTATCCTTTATTGATTAATTAATGCGTTACTATTAAATGTCAAAAGCCTAAAGTGGTGTTTTGATGTTCTGACCACCAGGTAACACAGGTTCACACAGGTTCACACTGGCTCACAAAGGAGCAAACAAGCACCTTTAACCAGTTTTGAGACTGAAAACAAAGAATGTTTTGCGTTCATCATGTAAAACACATCGTCAGTCAACAAACTAACTGTCCTTGTTGTGCGCATAAGATTGCTCGTACCAGTGTTTTTATTTAAGAGGTCATGTTATGATATTTTCAGGTGGGAATGCAGAACAGAGACTATCTGTCAGTCTTCTGTCATCTCCTTCTGCCGGTGGCGTACGAGGTGAGACAGGGAAATTCACACTTTGCTGACAGACGGTCTGATGTGTTGGACATGATTCATCTGAGCTTGTGGTTCTTTGTCACAGTTTTGCCCAGACTTGGTGTTGGTGTGTGCGGGCTTTGACTCAGCCATCGGTGACCCAGAGGTACTGAAAATAAATTACTATAATCAAACTTAAAATGCAGTTGGAATATTTCTGCGGATCCTTTCTTGTGCATGTTGAATTTACGTAGTATCATATGCATGATCAACCTTTGCACTGTAAAACTGTCCAGTGTTTTCCGTCATTGGAACATGACGTGCTGAGCTAACCTTCGCGATGGTCTGTGATTTCAGGGGGAAATGTGCGCCACTCCAGACATATTTGCCCACCTCACTCACCTTCTGATGAACCTTGCGGGAGGCAAATTGTGTGCTGTGCTGGAGGTCAGTCTGTCGTTGTCATGCAACACAAAAAACACTCTTACTAACATGAACACAAATGCAACAAATATTTTCTTTAAATATATGTTTATCTCTTTTAACACCTCCCCTCCTGGATACATGATCATTTCAGTTTGTTTTCCACTGTATCCATTGGATTATTTTCAAGACAGTGTGTTCTTTTTAAAAATGAAGTCTAATCTATTGAGACATACAGTATTATACAGTCATTTTTTGCACTGTGCCCACAGTCTTGGAGAGTTTAACATAGTTCTAGCGACCTGTGTGCGTAACAGAAAGTTGTAAAAGGTTTTACTGTGTTTTCCAGGGAGGCTACAACTTGACTTCCCTCGCCCAGTCTGTGTGTCAGACAGTTCAAACGTTGCTTGGAGATCCTGCACCTCGACCTGCAAACCTCTATGGTCCCTGTACAAGGTCTTTCTCTCAATCAGTTTAGGCGTCAAACCTTGTCCTGTATGTGTGTGTGTTTTACAACTGCAGTGAATTTATTTTTCTCTTTTCAGTGCACTTGAGTCCCTTCACTGTGCTCGATCAGCTCATAGACAGTACTGGTCCTGCCTCAAACATGCAGGTATAACATCTACATAAATTATGTTTTGAGCTTTTCCTTAATAAAAAAAGTTGAAAGTTCACGTTGCACATCTATAATGTCAGAGTAAAAACAAAAGGATCAAAATCGATGCAACAGAACCAGAGTTGTTGTCTTTTTTTTTTTAGTCCATATGTTCTTCTTCTTATCAATCCTGGTGCCTACATTGCAATTCTAACTACTGAGGGTTTGGTTGGAGATTCAGGTGTGTTACGCTAATGTAGCAGCTAATGTAGCCTCAAGCCGTTAGCTTCAAGCAGAGGTGAGGAACAGCTATGGAGGCCTGGTAAACTCATTTCTTTCTAACTCCACACCTCCACATTTTTTTTCATGTAGTCTTGAACCTCAGAAGGCGCTGACTCAGACTTAGTGTATTTTATACAGCAGTTTTACATCTGCAGTAGTACTTTCCAACTCCTGTAAACAGACTTTGATGTGTAATATTGGTGGAATTCTCCTTTAATTAGCCAATGTCCCAACCAGAGAGTTGACCTGGAGTACTTCATGATTACCTCATGTCACTTTTATATTTTACATTCACTGCTTGATATTGACATTTTTATCCCTCTTTCCTCCAGCTGATCTACCCTCCTCTGATATCAGCACCAAGCGCATTAAACTGGCAGAAGAAGAAGAAGAAAACACAGTGGATAAAGGAGAAGAAAAGAAAAGCGCAGAGGAAAAGGTGTGGCCAGAGCCTCCGAGACGAGTCACTCCTGCTGTTCGTGCTGCTGTGGTGCTCCCTGATGGTGTCGCCTGCCCTGACGGATGTAAACACTTTGTTTCATCAGAGGATATCCCCCTGCTCATGGTCGACAACCTCAAGTATGGAGCTGTGGTTGGTCACCGTCCACTGAAGTTTAACGTTATTCATAGTGCTCAAATTTATTTCTTATTATTGACACAGGGAGAGTTGGTGCTTGTATTCAAAATGAAAAATTCTAATCATTATAATCATTTTTTTTCCTACATTATTCAAAAATGTGTTGTTTTTTTTTTTTGCCTCATTCAGAGAGAATTTCCTTGAAGATGTAGAGGACAGTGATGCTTCCTCCACCCTCTCCAGTCTTATTGCCCTTGTAGAGAAAATGATAAAGAATGAGGTAAAGTCAGGATATTTATTTGTGTCTCATCTTGCTGTGATCCGGCCTGCTTGTAAATACACTGCTTCCTTCACTGACCTGCGTGCACGAGGCTCCAGGCTTCTATAATTATATTTAATTACTGCCTCGCAGATCTGCAGCGGCTTGGCGCTGGTCCATGACGTCTCCATGGTGATGAAGTCTGTTGTCCAGTATGCTGTATCTGCACTCAGGAACCGGTATAACAGTGTCGATCTAAACTGTACATACCCTGACTGTATGTTTTTAATATAGACTGTCTTGCTGGAAACGCCCTGCTCTTAAAGGACTGGTTCAACATTTTAAGAAATATGCTTATGCTGAGAGTTAGATGAGAAGATTGATACCACTCTCATGTTTGAAGCATTAACAATAAAAGCTCCCTTGAACTCAAAGCACAATATCTAATCATAATAATATCTATGAGTATAACAGTATCTAAGGGCGTAAATTTCCTTGAAAGAACCAGTTGACTTTATTAGATATGAGTCAACCAGCAGAGGACATACCAGTGATGTTTACATGTTGAAGGATATTTTATTGTCTGGTTTGATGCGGCTTCCTCTTATTGCAGGGTTTTGGTTGTGTGTGTCGGAGACGGGAAAGTCCCGAGTCACATCACTGAAGACGGGTGATTATCATTTGTGATTAAAGACTTGTTCCCCTTTTAGCAAATGAAACAAAGCTAATAATCTGCAAAAGCACAAACAACATGGCAACGAAAATGTTTCTGTCTTTAGGGAAACAGTTGTGGTGCAGTTCAGCGACAAGGAGTCAGACGAAAAGATGTGCAAATATTACATTCCCGTGTGTCTGAAGAAGGTACTGTGTGTGTTTGATACTTGATATTCTCTCTCTGTGTATGTGTAGTTCTGTACTGGATGCTAATTCAGTAGTACTGTTTTCTTTCTATATGATCATATTATGACAAAGTTTTTCCTCCAAGATATTGTGGCTATAAAATTGTATCTTAATAAGTGCAATCTATATATTTATTGAATTGTCACAGCATGAGATCTGAAATACTTAATAAATATTAAATGTTTTTGGCCAATACAACACAACCCGACCATTGCCCCATGACCAGTTTGATGCAATGTGATCAACACACGCTTGAATTTTTACAATGTAGTTTTAGAATATTGCAGTAAATGTTGTACGTTACAAAGACATTTATCTAGTCCATATTGTCCATGACTGTGTGTGTCACATTAGATTTATGTGTTTTCGAAATTTCCAATGGAAACACATCCCACATGTGTTTGTTGTCCTCCTGCAGGGCCTCAGTGACGTGTCCGGGTTCATACAGGCCGTGTTGGGCCTCCTCCTGCCTCTGGGATACGAGTACAACCCCAGTCTGGTTCTGTTGGTTCGGATGTCAGATAATGGACTGTCTGAGAGTGTGTGGCTACAGCTAACAGGTCTGCTGCAGGGCCTCGCACAAGGACACATGCTGGTACTCATGCAGGTAAGAAGGTTGGGGCCAATTTTATAACAGTACAGTGAATGCCATTTTATTCTTTGTTTGTGCAGAAGGACAAGTTTTGAGTTTCTTTCAGGAAGGTGAGGAGGCATGTGTCGGGCCTACAGCTTCCTCCCTCCTCGGGGACCCTGCCCCTTCTTTAGGACAGCTTTCAGCCCCTCCACCGGAGGATGTGGAGTCTGTGGAGAGCCTGAGACACAGGCTGAAGGCTGACTGGAAACTACTACAGACCACAGGTGAACAGCAGCATCACGTATAAACATGACACATAAGCTGACATCCTTGGAGTTTAGAAACTGATATGCACTATAATAACTTGAGTTTCTGTCTCCTGAAAACAGCACAAGATACTTGAAGAGGTGCAGAGCACTGAAGCTGATCCTGCTTATTTTTGTAAAAAAAAAAAAAAAAATCTGATGAAGCATTTCAAAAGTCTTGATACAATTTTGTATTTTTTCTAAGTTTTATTGTTTGAAATTGAAATGATTGAAATTCATGAAAATATTGTAAATGCCATGGTTGATTAATCTGCATTGACAGGGTTTTGATACGTAGATTAACACACGGCAACAGCTCTGCTGTAATGCTGTAAACCTTTGTTTACATCAACAATGTTTGGGACATTCGCAGTTTAATGAATTCTGATGAGGTGAAAAACACATGGTATTTTCTTCCATCTGTAAATCAAACACTAATGTTTTTATGAATAGACCGAATCGACCTTTAAATAATGAAAAGATGATAGTAATTGAAATAATGTAGACCCTTAAAAATGAGAGAGCACTAGCTAACAGCTGACAATAATTTGTCATTACTTTAATATAAACCCAGTTCTAGTCTCGTTACTTAAAGCCTTTAATATTATTGTTTTTATAATTTGTTTCTACATTTTTATAAATGATACCAAATTACTAAATAAAATCCTAAAAAGTAAATTTGAAATAACTTTTATATTGACCTCATGACAACCAACTGACGTTCATGTGTGGTTTGTAAATTGGTGATGTGATGTTTGTCTCAATAGAGTGTCTGAACTTCAGCCTTCTTCTCTGTTGATTTGATGCAATGACAGAAATAAAAGCCCAGTTTTGAGAGGAGGTGACAGAAACACCAAAACATTATTCTATTTGCCAAACAGCAAATGTGGTCGCCAAAGGGTCGCCCGAACACTTCAGGCAACCTTTACACTGAAAGATAAATGATGAAGATGTAAGAAGAACCAGAAATCAGTAAGTGAATGCATCTGAAGCTCTGATCACTACATCACTGCATTTACAGCCTCAGAGAGCACTGTTGGCAGATGTGCATCAAATCAATGGAGAAAAACTGCAGCAGTTGCAGCTCAGCCACATTTCACAGTCTTCATTTCTTCACCAAAAGTTAAAAGGTGGACTATTGAGATTAAATTCTTTCCACCAAATAATTCTGTACTTTAATATTTCATCACATAATGTAGAGGTTTGCACATTGAGAGACTGTATTTAATGGCTATTCTGTGGAAAATCTTCATTGTTTAACAATATATAAATATAACACTCAGCATTTGGATCTTTTACTTGGCTAGAAAAGTCAAAATCACATGACAAACAATCAAGAATACTCAACTACAAGTGAAAGTATTGCATTCGAAATCTTACTTATGCGAAAATACAAATACTATGAGCACCATGTATTGAAAGTATCAAAAGTAATGCATAATTAATGCCCCCTTTCAGAGTGTTATTTATCATAAATATGCAATTGTTAATATTACTGACCTATTGATATGTTAGTGGCATTTTAATGTTCTCAAGGCATGGCTAATTTTAACAATTTTATAAACTGTTGGGTAATTTAATCAGTAACAATGCATATTTTCCTATTCAGGATTCAGCACGTCAAATTTAAAGCTTTTGAAGATGTTTTTAATTCCACTTGTTTAAACCTGTTTTCACTGACATTTGGACCAAAATATGAAAGCGTTCAACAAAGGACAAGAAGGCCTGGGATTATTTATCAAGTGTAAATTTACAGACATTTGTATCACATTTTTGTCAGTACTTCCCCTCAGTGAATAAATAATTCCTGATATTATCATTACACAATCAAAGAAACTAGATCGGTGAATAAATAATAATAATAAGTAATGGTCAAAGTCTGGAACAACAGCACTGGGAATTTTCCATTTCTGTAATATTTAAGTAGTCTAATGATACAACACACAGAATGGGCCAAAAAATATTTCTGAAATTTAAGACTTTTTGTTTTTTGAGAAAACTGAAATTTGTGCTTTTTAAGACTTTTCAACACCTGTAAACTGATAATACGTTTCATATATAAAATCTCCATCTGAAAACTAACTAATACCTTTAACTGAAAGAAATGTGTTGGAGTAAAAACTACAATATATATTTAGCGACTTTCCACTAGTCGGTTTAAGTCAAAATATAAGTGTAGGTTTTTTTTGGTCTGGAAATGGAAAACCTTGTAAATCCTGTTCCGCTTCCTGTCGCTGGGGGGCGCTGTGGTGCGCACCGTCGGTAAACAGTAAGAGCAGATGAAGCTCGGACTCACATGTGAATCGTTCTCCTGTGTTGATGCCGGGACCAGCGCTTCTCCCGTCAGCCTCCTGTCCGTGTCTTCTGTGGCTTTTCGCCGTGATTGGCTCGCACACCGGCGCCTGAATGCATCACAGGGACGAGTGACATTATTAACAGTACACACTCAAACACACACACACGGCCACCCTGAAAGATGTCTGGGACAGCGACCACATCTGCGACCGCGCAGTCCGCCAAAATGAAAAAGGACGAATCTTTCCTGGGGAAATTAGGAGGTACCCTGGTGCGGAAGAAGAAGTCTAAAGAAGGTGAGCCATGTCAAAGATGCTTTTTTATTTCTCTTGATACTGTAACATTTGAAAGGCCTGTTGTGTTTCTGTCCATGGTGCTGCAATCACATGATGCGCTATTAAAGTATTCTCCTCTGGGACATCACAGGCAGCTGAACCAGTGACTCAACACATGATTATCAACATGTATACACAGATTCTCAGCGTTTAAATTGACTTAAGGGCTTCATCTTTATTCTAATCTGGTTTAATGTTAGTAAATCCTGATGTACAATAGGCAATTTGTTGTGTTGTAGTGTAGTTTTGATATTGTTAAGGGTCAGATCACAGCAGCTCCACAGGCCTTTTACATGAGGTAGTGAACATAAATAGATGACACAGCCAGTGACTGGTCACGGGAATGCAAGGTTATGAAGATAAAGGCGTTGGAGGATTACAATGCTGCTGTGTGACTGTGGACACCAAAACACACACACACACACACACACACACACACACACCAACTTATTTCTCCAGTTTTCCCACTTGTTGACCAAACTATTTTCTGCCCTTCCCACATGCCAGTCACTGGACAGCTGCAAGGTTTAACGCCTCTGTGTGTGTTATACTGTGTGTGTGTTTTGTGTGTGTGCTGTCTGCCATGTGTTTGTAATCTCCATTAAAGGAGGGCCGCCAGCAAGAAGACAGACATGCTTTAATTGTTAAGGAGCATCATTAAATTCCTCACTTTACCTCAAAAAGTCAGGGGTTTTCAAACATTTTAAATGACATTTTAACCTTAAATCTTTTAGTCAAACTGTAAAACAAACAAAAAAAGAAAAATAATCTTGGATGGATGGTGAGAGGATCTCACTGTGCAGCAAAACACAGAAGTCTGTTTTGAACTGGAGACCTAAAGTTTCCCAAGCATACCAAATATGTATGACATTTTGGGTAATGTGTAAAATAATGCACAAAACATATGATGTACTGTATATAAAGAAAATTATCTGTTGGACTGGCACAGTTTTACACAGTTTATTTTAGAGGAGCGTAGTGGAGAATCTCGCAATGATACTCTCAGTGTCGGGCTGAATTTTAAGAAAATTTAAGTAAAATGATGCATAAGACATGATCACAAGAGCTGCAACAAGATTATACATCAGAGATGAAACAATTTGGATGATTTATAAATCAGTAGAGTCCATTTATTGAGAAAAAATATCATAAACTCTGGTTCCAGCTTCTCAAATGTAGATTTAGTAATTCTTCATGTTTCATAATAAAATATATTTGCCTTTTATACTGTCCTATATAAGGTGATTTTTTTCCAATGTTAAAGACACTTAATATTGAGCAGAACCCCACAGACAACAGCCCAGGCAATGAGTTAATTAGATGATAACCGAGAGGTGGAGTTCTGGCACAAGGAGGGAATTAGAATGATTGTCTTCCTAATCTACTCGAGTGCTTTTAGTCAGTCGACAAAAAGTGTATTGTTTCACTCATGTTAAGCTAAAATGTGAACACTTTTTTGGATTGAGGATTTGCTGCTTTTCTCTGCTGTATGAGAGTTATTAAATATCTTTACAAGCTATTTGAAGATGTTTCCAACTGATGGATAAGCTGTATTTTCTTTTTCTTTTCTTAGGTAAATCTTAGTTAGTTAGTTAGTTAGTTAAAATAAACATTAGTTGAAGATATAAATTCAAAATTGATATGTCAATCTTGGTAATCTCACATGACCCCATGAAGGGGCCACACATGGGGTCCTTACTGCTAAGACTAAAAAACTTTGACTTAGACTTTAGTGTGGGTATTAAAGAGGTGTGGAAACCTTTAATGAACGATACCAACACAAAAAAATTATTTGTTCCTCTATTTGTCAACCCCCAACTTACAAACAAAGACCCCCTGTGGTCTCCCACGCCTTAATGATGCCAACATATGGCTGGAAGTCAGTGCTGTGGGTAATGAATTCTGCAGCGTGGACAGATGGGACTCCACCGTGCCAGTGTGGGTGCAGCTTGTGAGAGTGCAGTGCCCCTGTGTGGTCAAAGTGGATTAAAGCTCAGAGGAAACATAGGTCAGTTTAAAGGGAGACAACATTTTAAGATGTCAGAATTGGAAAACAGTATAACAGAAGAAAGATGAGTGAAGTCAGTGCTGCAGATGGAGCACAGCTTGCTGTCTCACACGCTGCTGCTGCTGCTGCTGCTGCTGCTGTTGTGGTTTCTGTTACTTTTGGGTGTGGTGCTTTATATCCTTTAAGGGGAACACCCAACAGAGACGAGTTGCCACTGGAAAAGTTGCTTCACTTTTGCTGAATAATCATTAAGAGAAAGGGACTTATGGTTTACTAAATTGTGTTGACAGTCCTTAGCAACCACACATACACATTTTACTACAGTATTAAGCACTGAAACCCTCCTCTTCCTCCTGTAGTTTCAGCAATGGGATGGAAAATGTTGTTTAAGGATATTCAAAAAGAGATAAAAGAAGATTCCTGTAGTTGCAGACCTCGTTTTTACAGATACTGTTATGTGCCTGGCTCTGTACATCCTGATTAACTGAAAGGAAGTATGCATTTCTCTGACAAGGCACGAGTCCCTTTGTCAGCGACAGGCAGTGAAGTAATAATAACAGTTTAGTGGGGGGCAAAAAAAAAAAAGTTTTTGCTTTGTAAGGACTGAGAAGATGAGTGTCAGGTCACATCCTCATTATATTAGCTTAGTGTGAAGACTGTCCGTGCTCTGAAAATACAGAATATAACTATAACACAAGTTCTAGGATGGAAGCTGATCATAGTAAGTCATCTATTATTCTATACCAGGTTTATTCTTTTATATTTTCACTCACTTCTTTAGTTGTTGCTAGTTTCACCTTGCTATCAAAAAGAGACGGAGTTCAACTGAGGAAATTATGCATTGGTTAATGTATTATGCATACATTAAAGTACAACTTAGACCAACATTGCAAGAGTACAATGTATAATTCTGTGCTGCTGCTTTGCTTCTTTTGCTCTTTATTCTGCAGTACTGATGATTTAAGAATTGAGCTGTGAACCTTCATGCAAATACACATAGTAACAATGTGTCTGTATTGCAGGTAAATTATATTAACTTGACAGTTATGCTGTTATTAGCAGTCATCAACACTGATATTTAGAAGGTATGAATGTAGACTTACTCAAAAAAAGCACATAATAGACGGTTATCATCATCAATCAGTCATGTCAATTTTACTTTTATTAGAGCCTCACCAATTAACTGGCCTGGCTGATAAGTGACTGATATTCACTTATTAATATATATGAGTTTTGGCATCATGTTGAGCGTCATTGTAACAAGAAATTGCAGCACAGAATTGCCATAGACATGTTTGACTTACTATAATTTTGTTACACAGTTTCTTCTGAAAAGTTAATTTTTCAACTGTAAAATGTCAGACTCTGTGCTGCATATCTTGGTCACAGTTCCTAAAAGCAAAATTTAGAAAAATTTAAAATAGCCTTATCAAACATGTTTGAGCATGTTATGTGTTTACGTAAAAAGATATATTTACATACTGTATATCTTTTTTTCTTCTAAACACATATGGTCAAGGCATTACACAGAGGCCAAACGACGCCCGACATCCAAGTCTCATCACAGTCTGGTCATTTCAAAACATGTTTCTCAAAGAGAGATGTTTTGGATCGATAGGCCCGACACTGTGATCCTCACAAGCCTCAAGGATAGTTTTGCTTTTAAATCTTTCTGGTAATGTTGGTACGGCAGTTGTGCTCTACAGACATTCTTTGCTTTGATGATGTGCCACCTTTTTTTTACTATTTAAGGGAAGGGCTCAGGATGAGCAACAGAGGATGGATCCCTCTGTGTGTGCAGAGCAGACAGAGGGAGCAGAAGTAGAATCACAGTATGGAGAATTACAACAGAATTGCAGCATTAAGTAAATGTAATAGTAGATAAATATTAGGTGTAATAGATTAAATAGTTTCAACTGTAATGGCTCATATCTGTTGAAGGCCCCCTGTGGAACATACTCATTGACACTGTTGTCTCCTGGCTGCTGTTACTCACTGGTGCCTGTGTTGGTGTAAATAACCAGAGCTATATTTAAGGTCCAGTCTGTCTTCTCCATACTGCCGCATTATTTATATCCCCCTCCCTGGCCCCCCCCTGTGCCCCCCCTCCTCCCTCGGGAGCTGTGGAACCAAACGAGTCGAGGTCGATGGCGGTCCATTCCACGTTGTTATTTATGACACTGCCTGACTTCTGACTTTTTTTCTGACATTTTCCCTCTGAAGCAAAAGAAATCTGACCATATGATGTTGTTACTTCTGTCTCGACTAATCACTGTGTCCTTTTGTATAATGGTTTATAACATCACAGAGGAGCTTTTTGCATGAAGTTGTGCAATGAGGCTGGTGTAAGATAAATGTTCCTGACTGCAGGCTTTGGTTTGTATTGAATTAGTGTAATTCTGTTAAGAGGAATACATCCACTGGATGATTGATTGTCCACTGCAGCAAAACATGTTAAAAGGCTCCATTCACATGCCCATTGAAGAGAGTTACTCGCTGAAACAAGTTTATTCTCTCATATTGCTGTGAAATTGCTGGATTGCTGTTGATCTGAACAGTCAGTTTTGATGGTTAAGACAACAAAACCATACAACAGGGAATTATTTGTGTGAGAAAATACTCTTCTGAGGATTGAAACACCATCCTGCGTTCATAATACACATTATACAGTAAATTAGTGGATATGCAGTCAACACTGTACCTGTCATAGGTCACTGAAGTCTGTCCTGTGTCCGCAACCCAGAGGTTACTAGTGGGTTACAGTAGGGTTGCTTTGGTGCCTTATGTCCAGTGTCTCCTTCCTGTCACACACACACACACACACACACACACACACACACACACACAACTCAAACCTCTCAGCGTCTCCGGTAACTGGACCGCAGAGGTGGGGTGGAGGGTTGTGACAGAAATAAACACGTGATGACGCCCCTGCCACTGTTCGGCCCCACCGACTGCCATTCACACACACACACATACACACACACACATACACATAAACACACACTGGACGGAGCGTGCACCTCATTTTCTACCTTCACTCGCTGCCATCGGGGGGGAATCCGCAGGTTTATATCAGAGATATGGCGGGGCTGCTGTGTGGGACCAAGAGAAAGAAACAAGGTAATTTGGTTTTAACGTTTGGCTTTGAGGAACTTGGACGTGGAAATGAGGAACCAGAACCTGTTACCTTAGTGAACTGTGGGATATGATATGTTTGCTTGTTGTGAGAGGTCAACACGATGGAAGTATTAAGCCACCTTAAGATTTGTACTTAACATTATAGGATTTACTTTGGTTGTTTTATGTTTTATTACATTTTTGGACTGATGAGTCAAAGTATTTTTATTCCCATATCATTCTGTATAAATCTGCAGTAGTAAATGAATTATTATTGTATAATTTTACCATTTTAACACAGATTTTACTCGACTGTGTGAAGTGCCAAACCTCTGTCCAGCCCAGTACAAAGCAGCAGTAATGCAGTGTGATGGTCACAGAGGGAGGAAGCGGAACAATTATGATGAAATGCAGAAAGCCCGATCTGTAATTACAAAGCAAACTGCTGATCTGCTGTGAGATCCAGGGCTGGAGCCGGCTCTCAGCTCTTGAATCAGATAGTGAATCTGTGGGGACCCCTCCTCCAGGGGTTATTCTGTATATCCTCTCCGTGGAAATGCTTTGAAGTAGTGATTTTGGTCTGACTGTACCATAAACACACTGTTCTAGACTCTTTTTCATTATATTCTCAATTAAAAATGATTTTACATGCTTTTAATTTGAAAAAAAGAGCTCAATTGCATTCTCAGCTTGGTTCTCCTTGCAGGCTTTATAAATAACAGGGTCAATGAAATGACAGATTGCGGTCCAGCCTGTTGCAGGTCTTACAAATTGAAACAGAGGATGATAAAAGGAATGTGGCCATTAGGGGAAGAAAGGTTTTAAATCCCTGGAGAATCTCTCCAATCAGAAGTGAAAGCCTCTCAGCAGAAATTGACTTAGTTTGAAGCTAGTGTCAAAGTGTGTGTTTGTTACTTATCGTGTGTCTTTATGTCTCTATTGAGTACATTGTATCTTTACACCAAGAGACATGCTTAAATTACTTAATTATTTTTTTTAAAGATGTGAGGAGACTGCTGTTCCCATGACGCAATCTGTAGTGGGAAGGAAAGTGAGGAAGTGACAGATGTGTGGGAGCAGCTCAGAATCAACACAGTTTGATAAGCGTGTTCACCAGAGCAGATAGTTTCCTATTAGTTGGTGAAGAGCAAGTAGATGGAATACACTTTATAATATGGAATTAAATTATCTGACCTGGGTCAGTTAATAGTTGCCAATAATTCATAACTCATACTCTTAGGAAAAACATATTAGAAAGGAAAGTTGGAAAGCAAAATTTTAACAAGTGACATTTTTCCGTCCATTAATAATTGAAATGCACTATATTGTCTTTTGATTGAATACAAAAGAATAAGATAAATTCCAATTGGAGAAAAACTGAGATAAAGATATTTGATAAGTAGAGGTGGAAGAAGTATTGGAAAATGATCCTTTAGTTAAGTAAGTGTAGCAATACATCAACTATGAACACAATGCACCTTGATATAAAATGCAAAAATACTAATTTTGTAGAATGAATCGGTGATAAGCTATACTTTTATATTCTATTTTATCCACAATCCTTTCCTGGGAATCACACTATCTCAAAGAGTATAGATAAAACTCATCATTTCATATGATCTTTTCAATTACGTATGAGCAGGATTTGCTGTTGATTTGTTTTTATGGAACCTGTTGTACCTTGAACCTGTTTCTTAAAAGTTGTATGACTTTTATGTGGGTTGTTTTTGTCTGTGTAGTGAGTGATCTCCATGAAGAGGGGAAGAAGGCAATCAATGCTCCCATGCTCCCCACCGGGACAGACATCCATCCCGAGGACACACTGCTGGGTATATATACACATAAAAAAAAAAAAACGCACATGTAAAGAAAATTTTATTTAAAGTTGTAACCGCATCTATTATCCTGAAACACTATTATATCCTGTGTGTAACATGTTTGTCTCCATTCATGATTGGACGGTCACAGTATTATTGAGAAGGCACTTTGCGATATTTTGACTGTCAGAGGTTTCTGAGGTCACACAGGGGCATATGAATGTAACACATGTTGACTAATGGAGACTGTGACAGTGGAGGAGCAGGAAACGAAAGTGGGTGGGGTGTCTTCAGTCACCATGTGAATCGCTGTTGACATGTCATCTGTAGATTTGTATGTATGAGAGATGATGAGATAATGTAGCTATGTCCAGATATGGATATAAATGTGAAGGAAATTAAACAGGAAGTCACAATAAACCTCTGACCACATGTCTACTGAGTGTCTTCATTTTCTCTCACATTATCTCCACCAGAGGAAAACGCTGAGAGGATCATGTTGGACCCAACATCGCGGGAGAATCTTAAATTTAAAGATCTGCTGAAGGTAGTGTGGGATTACATTTTTGAGCACAAACATCAGAGCAGTAAAAAATATGAAGTAACAAGGTCTCACTGTATTTTGACGTGTGTCCAGGTCCTGATCGACTGGATCAACAGTGAGTTGGAAGAAGAGAGGATCATAGTCAAAGACCTGGAGGAGGACTGTTACGATGGACAAGTGCTCCAGAAGTTATTCGGTGAGAAACTGGTTTCTTTTGGCTTCTCGGCTCTCACAACATCTTTATCCATATGGCCTCTGTTGGCCTTCAACTTGCCATGTGCAAAGTGTGTTTCAGTCGGGCATCAAACACATGAGAGTAAATCTGAGACGATTACACCATCAATAATTGATTGCGCAATCGATCGGTTGGTGCAGCCTGTGACTCTGGTACAAAGAAGTTGTTGTTTCATACTGTGAATCTGATGCATGACAAAGGTCCATGACAGAATCGTACATTTTCGCTAAACTTAGTGCCGACAGTGATTCATTGTTTTCTCTGGAGAGACTTCATTTTCCTACTCGCCTGTTTACCAGCTGTGCCTTTCATACAACTTGATTTGGTCTGTTCGCTGTAGTACCTTGCCTAAAATGACCTAAGTATGCAGTATTGTCTTGAAGTAGAATTAAAACATACTTTGATAATAGTCAGAAGAAATATTAAGCAAATGAAAACCGGGAACGTACTGTGATATTAATCACACTTACCTTCCTGAACATATGGAGTAGAGGAGGATGGAAAGTGTCACCTGTTCTGATCTGGATGAGGTTGAGAATTAAATTTTATTAAAATTTTTTCTGTCCTTTTTATCATGATCTTCAGTTCAAGCTTTTCCTGAAAGTGTTTTGTCTGTTTGATGTGACAGATGAATGTATTTTACAGCACGTTTCCATATATGTATGTAGACGTAGCTCAGGTTTTGTTAAATGCTTAACATCAACATATGGAAACATCAAGTTTATATCTGATACAATGGGTTTTCAAGCATGTATACAGTATTTGAATATGCATTCAAATACACAAGAGTGTATATTTAAACATACATTCAGATGTACAACCAAGTAGACAATAAAATGACAAATTATACCCTCTTAAGTACATTCTGTAGTAGTAGTTAAAAAGAGATTATGTAAAACAGTTACACCCCAGATCAGTAAGACTTCTAACCAAATGCTTTAATTGGCCTATCGGTAGCAGCGTGTCAAGTTTCAGTCTGCTCAGTAAATTATTCCAGACAAATAGAGCGTGATATCTGAAGGCCATCTTACCAAATATCCATCCTTTCATTCTTTCATTCATTCATTCAGTAATAACTACTGGCAAACGTAATCAACTCAAAACATTTCTTTTATTCTGAAACATTTTAGTGAAAAAAAATAAATGAAATGTTCAACTCATTAAGTAACATGTAAAAAAAAAAAGCCAATATTAGCAGCATTATTCTTCCAGTCCAGTGTCCACTGTGATTCATGTGTGTTCACCGCTGTGCTGCTGTGTCTAGTAAAGCTTCATAGTCTTTGGGTTGTTAGGGGCTTCCCCCTTGTGTCTGTTATTTGTCACAGCAGCCTGAAAACTTCCAGCTCAACACCACATGCTAACAGCTACGAACAGAAACCCTCTTAGTGTTTTTTGACGACACCTCTCTTGTTTCGTAGATGAGACAAAAGCATCTACAGCTTCTGCCAAATGAATATGAAGTAATGTCACTGCAACAGTAACAGCAGGAAAAAACTGAATTGATATTATCACAGTTGCAATTATTGATTGGATTTGCATTGAAATGGTTGTACAGTATGTCACGCGTGCGTCTGTAGCAGAACTCTGCGAACTCTCTTCCTTGTGCTCCGTACCGTATCGCATTTCTCAAATGTTTTTCTTGTGTGTAGATTCTTTTCTTTCTCCGTCATGACTGATGATTTCCGTGTCTTTTTTGGTCAATCAAAGGGAACATTTCTTGTGCTCAAACTCCCTCTTCAGCTCCTCTCATTTTTTATCTCCACACTCCAGCTGGTTTCTTCTTCTTCTTTGCTCCCACATATTTCCCCTGTGCGTACACCAGCTAATTTTTCCAGCCCGATTAAAAAGTCTCATTATCTGTCAAACACGTAGAAGGATAAAAAAAAAAGAAAAGAAATGCACATTAATTTACAAAAGCCAGCTGACACGAAATAAGACCGACTTTTCATATGTTTCAGAAGTGTCAAGAACAACAATTAAAACGCACAGCAGGAAACATTTTATAAAGGGATGTGTGATTTCTTGCTCTGTGTTAAAGCCCTTTTTTAGTTTTCACACTCCTTTATCATTTTTGCACCTTATGTAATCTCAGTCTTTTATTGCATCAGTGGCTCATTCTGGATTTCTTTTTTTATCAGTGCTGCTGGTTCCTTTTTTTTTTTTAAATATTATCTGAACCCACGCGCTTGAGATAAGACTCCGAAATCATTTTCCTTACTTCTCCTCGGAGCAGAGAAGTCTTCTTATACAAGTCATCTTTGTTGTTTGCAGCCAAAACATTTAGGCATTTTCATGATAATCATGTCCTTGTTTTCCAAAGGACACAACCCACAGTGAAACAGGCAGGCAAGAAACATGTTGTTGTAGACTTTTTTGGTTTGAAGCACTTTTGTAAGTTTGGTGTTTTATGTAAATGAAAGTTTTTTTGTCTAAGCCTTCACACGTGAAGCAAGCCTCCTATTCAGAGGAGTTCTCTTCAAAGCACAGACATGGCTCGCTTGTATTGTACAATACAGTACTGCTATAGTACGATACTGTCAGAAATGATTCATGATTGTGTGTGTTTGACCTGACATGACTGTATCTCCTCTCTCTCTCCTGTTGTTGACAGAGAAGTTGTCGGGCAGGAAGCTGAACGTGGCCGAGGTGACCCAGTCTGAGATCGGCCAGAAGCAAAAGCTTCAGACGGTTTTGGAGGCTGTTAACGAAATGCTGAGGCCTCACGGCTGGACTATCGAGTGGAGTGTAGACTGTGAGTTTTACATTGACTTCAGTGATTTTCCTGCTTTAAGGTGCACTCTAGGGATTTAAATACTGGATTCTATATTTCTCATATTTAATCTTTTTTCATGGGCTATATAGAGTTGCGAAGTAGTGAGGACAAGCTGGTTCCTGAGGTGGTTTTTCCCATATCAATTTTTTCTTTAAACCGTGTCCTTAATGTCAAAGAAAAACAGAAACACAGAAACACGAAACTCTCCCAAACAATGTAACAACCCTGTGGGTTTATGTTATGGCCACCAGGTTTAATTCCAGCTTTGTTTTTCTGAGAGGTCGTGTTTTATCCGTCATGTTTTCTTGGTGGACGAGTCTAAGTACCCATGAGCCTTGGGCGCGGTTGCTATGGAAAAGAAACCAGTCAGCGGTGTGAATCAGAACAGTCAGCATTTCAAATGGCTTTTGTTGTTAACAAAATATTGCGGTGTAGCTGCTGAATTTTGGCAAAAATGACACAGAATTTAAAAGCGAACTGATTTAACCTGCAGACTGTGTTTTCAGTTTTCTAACAGCATAATCTTTTGTGGCTCATTTGACAGAATTTTAAGCTCAGTGATTGGATGTTTCGTCATAATATAATGTGTAGCATGAAAATCTTTTGTACACAATCTAATACCCAGATATATTCTAACGTAGCTGTTAATCATTCGGACTGATGATTGAACTGGGAGAGTTTCATTCTGTTCCAGCTGCGAGTCACGTTAATGGTTTGTGCTGGAAAAATGAATGGAACTTTTATTTGCAGGAGCAGGAACTCCAGAAATAGCTCCTCCCATTGTGCAGCGCCACAGCGCTCTTCATGATGAGCATACTGAACTCATGTGTGAAATTGGTGGAATGACCCTTTAACACACATAATTGATTCTCTTAATTTGCATTACAAATTGATGATTATTTAAGCAGAGTTATGTGTAACTCTACAAACATAAGGGATTCCCACAGGAGCTAATGTCAGAGTTGCGTTGATTCATGCTTCATTAATTTCTCATTTGCAGCTTTGTCATTTTTTTGTTGTCTCTTAAAAAAAAAAAAAAAAAAAACATCTTTAGAAAGTTGCTTACATTATTATCACTATCAATAGCTCACATCTCATCATTACGCTAGCTTGCTTTGTGAAAGGACTGACAGTCGACTCTTGTGATTCACTGTTTCAGCGATCCATTCAAAGAACCTGGTGGCTATTGTCTATCTGCTGGTGGCTCTCGCTATGCACTTCCAGGCCCCCATCAGACTGCCTGAGCATGTCTCTGTACAGGTGGTGGTGGTCAAGGTAAAGCGTCCCATCAAACTCAAGCAGGGGTGTCATCCATCATCATTATGTGTAGCGATGAAATGAAAATAAATGATAATAAGTCCCATCATAGTGATCGATAGTATAGTGTCAGTTAATGGTTACATTTCTGTCATCTTTCAGTTTTTTGTCTTTGTCTTGTCTGTACATGAGATCATCAGAATGTGCATTAGCAGTTGTAGTTATTCTGTCAAGTCACGGATAAATGACTTCGATTTTTATTTGAGCAGAAACGAGAGGGCATCCTGCAGACTGCTCTAGTGACCAAAGAGCTGACGAGCACCACAGAGTAAGAGCTGATACAGTTTCCTTCATGTGTGCTCCTCTTCTCTGTTCAATGTTGTTATTATTAATATGTAAAGTCTTAATAATAGTTATTTTAGTATGTATTTTAGGAAGGTGGAGAATACTGCACACAGATTTGAAAACTAAAACTTTTTTTTCATATTCTGTTGTATCTTTTTGTTTTTCAGAATGATGATGGGAAGATTTGGTGAGTCCCAGCCACATACAGTATCTGTTTCATGTTACAGTATTGTAGAAATGTCCCTTTAGTTTCATTATTTCCTTGTCTATCTGCTTAAAGGAATGACTCAGCATTTAGTGGAAAAAACACTTATTTGCTTTCTCTTTGAGAGTGAGATCAATACCACTCTCACTAAATATGAAGCCAGCAGCCAGTTAGCTTAGCTTAGCACAAACACCAGAGACTTACTGAAACCATCGTTTTTATACCTTTTTATACGTTTTTGTACAAATTAAACAAAAAGGTTATAACATGTTAATAACTGAGCTGTATGAGGTGTTGGTGCACAGTTTTTTTTACCCCTGTACAGGGCCAGGCTAGCTGTTTCCCCTTGCTATCTCTCCACTAAGTTAACCGCCTGTTGGCTGTAGACTTATATTTATAGAAGGGATATGAGAGTGGTATCGATCTTCTTATCTTTTTGACACATTTGACGTCTCCAAAAATGTCAGACTATTCCTTTAAGCATTCATAACCTTTGAATTATTGCTTCTATGCAACAGAGAGGGACGCATTTGACACTTTGATGGATCATGCACCTGATAAGCTCAACGTGGTAAAAACGGTAAAAAAAAAAAAAAAAAAAAAGACCCTTTCTGTGCAAAGTAATGACTCACTTGAAAATTTGCATTTTTGTCATTACACTTAACATAGCATGGATTTAATAATATTATTTTTGTCCTGTTGCCAGTCGCTCATCACCTTTGTGAACAAACACCTGAACAAGCTGAACCTGGAAGTTACTGAGCTGGAATCTCAGGTACGTGATTTAATGGTTGATCTAAAGACCCGTATTGTCACTGTTATAACTTTGTGATCCAGTGAAATATTAAAATTATCATTAGTGGTACACATGTCATGTAACAGCTTTTAAATCCTCTCATCTTCCCTTTATTTGCATGGCCGACATCTGAGATTTTAATTTTCAGATACGTATACTCCAATCGGATCTTCAGTCTTTTCATCGAATGCACTTTATCTATCTGCTATCTGTACATGTGTGCACAGTTTGCTGATGGAGTGTACCTGATATTGCTGATGGGGTTGCTGGAAGACTACTTTGTCCCTCTGTACAACTTCTTCCTCACCCCTGAGAGCTTTGAACAGAAGGTGATTTCACCCTCCAAAAGTGAAACAAATTGGATCTTTGTTGCCAATTTGCAGAATATAAAGTCTTAACTTTGTTTCCCCTCAGGTCCACAATGTGGCGTTTGCCTTTGAGTTGATGCAGGACGGAGGCCTGAAGAAACCCAAGGCCAGACCAGAAGGTATTTTATAGACAGAGACATATTAGGTTATTACAAGAAAAGATAAAAGACATAAAATGTAAGGAGGTTTTATGGAGGGTGACTGAGATTATGAGTCTCTTATACTGACAGGGTGCTGTAAAAGAAGGCATTGAATGGTTGATGTGCCACAGTAGCAGTCATGTTAAAGGTTGTCCAGTAGATGGAAACCTTGCTTCACCTTTAAACTCAAATACTGGATGGCTGGTGCTGAGGTCATTCAGCAAGCATTCGGCTCCTTTTTGTTTTTTAAGCTTTTTTTTTTTTTTTTTTTTTTTTTTTTAAGAGAGAATAGAAGAATCAAAGTACGACTTATATGATTTGATGTAAGGATGATTATTGGTTAAAATCATTTATCATTTTTAACAATTTAGTATTTTTCCTGTCTTTCACAGAGATTTGCAAGCAGATTTACAGAAAATTTGGAAATAGCTCTCAGTGTGATCTAATACAGTTGACAGATTACCTTCTTAAACTGTAATTAGTATCACTTCACTGAAGAACTCTTAATTAATTTGGCAGGCCACTTTAATCCACAAAATATCGTAGTGAAATTTCAGATTGGAAATTAGATTTTTTTTTTGTTGTGTAATTTAAACAGAAATGTTGCATTTCTGTTTAAATTACTGTACATCTAAGTTTAGAGTCTTAAATACCTGCTCAACCATCTCAGGGCACTACACTTAAGCATTTCCATTGAACTCTACAGTATATTGCACTCTTCTATACACTATATATTTGTATCTTGTATATATTATATAATCATCATAGCTACTTCATATTATATTTTATGCTTTACCTCTATATTTATTCTTTAAAACGTCCACATTTTGTACACATATACTCATATTGCTCCACATTTGATATCCCATGTTCTATATGAAATTTTTAAATACTTTTACTTTTCACTGAATTATGCATGACTAAATTTTCCAATTCTTAGAACATGTCTGTATATTTTTCTCAATTTCATTATACTTACTCTATATGCAATCCATTGTGATGGTAACCGAGAGGTTCACTGCACAGAGCACTGTCGAATACATCTTTAAATCTATAGAAATTTCTTTAAATTTATCTTGTTTGTTTGATCCGCACAAAAACAGTAAGTGGTTAGGGTTAGGGTTAGTGATGTGTAAAAACACCAACCCTAACCTTACATCTTAGATAGATAGATAATGCACACATTTTGCCTTTAGATAATTTTGTTTTATCTACCACTAAAACATGTTCTTTCAGCTTTTCTTGTTAATTTTAACTACTTTGTTTAGAAAATAAATTGTGTTTTTTATTATTTATATATATCTTATAGAAATTACATTTTAATACATTTAAATAAGCGACTGCCATCTCAGTTGGAAGCTGAGATGCTAGTTACTGCTCCTCTTGAACTAATATAAGCTACAGTAGATTTGCAGCATGTGTAAATATTGTCTTGCTCAGTGCTATGTTATTATTGAGATGCTTTTCCCCCTCCTTAAAACATCTGACTAAGCCAAAATGGAAACCGCTCACAATCCTACTCGCAAGCACTGCTCGCAATTACTGCTCGCAATTTTTGCAGTAATTGAAATCAAGCTATTATCTTCACAGCTGTATAGCTGTACTTTTACTACAGTATATATGTTGTGATTAGCATTGGATTCGTGCAAATATGCAGATTCATTATAAATGAAAGCAGAGATCCTAAAGCCGTTAATGACATCCATACTGTCACCCTAGCTAACAGGGAAATGCAGACGATAAGGAGCTTAAGGCATGCTAGTTTAGATGGTGATGCAATGATACTACTGTAACAAATGGTGTCTGGCTGGAATAACTTAAAATAGACCTAGCTGTGATGAGAAATTACAGTAAGCAAATAAGCACTTGTGTAGAACACCATGGCACTGAGAGAGAACAGAAAGTGTTTTTTGGGCCTTTGAATCGCTCCTGGTAAGAAGTAACACATCATATGATAATCATTAGCAAATTCTTGGGAGCTATTTGGAGCTCCATTTCATTTGAAATTACAAATCAAATTACACATAATATTTTGATGGAAAGAAGTCCAACAGCAATCATTGAAGAGGCTTCTTTGCTTTGTAAACATGATTTTGTGGTACCACAGACCAATTAATTTGTGCCTCAGTCTTCCAAGGATCAGTTTTTTGTACATGTCAAAGGTCTATTTCTACCTGAAGGTTTGGCAAGCTAATGACCTCTGTTTTGTCTCAATTTTGTTTTACAGATGTTGTCAACCTGAACCTCAAGTCCACCCTCAGAGTTCTCTACAACCTGTTCACCAACTACAAAAACACTGAGTGAACTTTTCCAGTTCACTCAGTGTTCACTCAGCTGATATTACTCTGAATTCTGTGCCTCTGCTGATATGCATTTCATTCTGGACACTGTAGGAGACCAACTGGGACTGAAAGTCATTATGCGGGACTTAAAAAGAACCAGGGGGAGTAGCCTGAAAAAGGCTCTGAATGTTAGTGTTTAATCTTCCCCAAATGTCAGTATATTTATTTATTATTTCCTCGAATGTTGCAACCCAGGAAACCCTTCAACCTTCATCCCTGCATTTGAATACACAGCTGTCACAGGAAAAATGTGGTGAATGGTAATACTGGAAAACATTAGTGTCAAACTCAGTCGCATATATTCCTCCAGATTATTTAAGAAAGTTGAAAATGCTGTTACATATTATTTAGTATCTAAAAGTGCTTTGTATAGGTATTAAAAGAATAGTTTGACATTTTGGGAAATATTCTTATTCGCTTTCTTGCCAAGAGTTTGATTGACACAGCCAGCAGTTGATTCGCTTATGGTCACATCTAACGTTACACAACTAACAAAATCTGCCTAACTTTATATCTAAAGCTCACTTAACACGTTGTATCTTATTTGTTTGATCCACACAAAAACCATACTATAAAAACATCAACTCCATATTTTGTGATAATGCACACATTTTTGCCTTAGGATAATTTTGCTTTATTTATCACTAAAACCTGTTCTTTCAGCTTGCTTGTTAATTTTAACCCCTTTTTTTTAGAAAATTAATTGTATGTATTATTATTTACATATATCTTACAGAAATGACATTTTACTACATTAAAAATAAGTGATTTTTAGGTATTTTAACCATACCAAATTCCACCAGAGTGAGAGGCTGAGATCGCAGTTACTGCTCCTCTGCTAAGCTAATTAGCATTAGCAGGAGTTTAGCTTAGTTATGCGGAATAGCAAACTGACTGACACCAAATATCTTCGTACTGCATTTCACTGCCGTATAGGGCATGCGGCAGTGCTAACCCTACCTACAGTCTCTTAAGCTAAACAGTAGCTTCATGTCTAAAGAAACAGTTCGACATTTTTGGAAATACACTTTGCATTCTTGCTAGGAGTTAAATGGGCCAGCATCACGTTAGCTTAGCACAAAGACTGAAAATGGGCAAACAGATAATGTAGCTCTGTTCAAAAGGTAACTAAATTCTCCTACAACCACATTTGAGCTAACTAACTACGGTATTATATCTTGTTTATTTAAACTGCGCAAAAGCACTGTAAAAACAATGCATAGTGTTGTTATGTTGGTTTATTCATGGGAAGCGTATTTCTTGAAATGTCTTAACTATTCCTTCAAGAAATTTGAACATGTTGTGTGTTATATATGACCTGTATGTCAAATTAGTGCCTGAAAATGTTTTGGATTTTCTTACTATATGGCTAGCTCTAGCTATATGCCATAATCACTTTTCTTAACAGCTGAAGGAACTGTGAACGGTTCTTGTTTACCCTGAACTATGCACACCATTTTTCAAGCCATATTTAAAAGCTGATGCTGTTGCCTCCTGCCTTAAGTGCAGTGTGTTCTTGCCATCCCAGGAAAGCAACAGCCAGACTATCTTCATACTGACTGGCCTTTCAGACAAGTCCCTGAGGGGGCCTGGACCCACGGAACCGCCTGGAGACCTGCTAAGATGTACAGTGCATGCGTTTTAGAGCCAGGCTGAATAATTGAGAGAGTGGATGAGTCAATCTAGACTGTGCTCGCACTGGATGGCTCACCTCTGTGCATTTTTTTTTTATCTTGCCTATCAAGAAATAAACGCCTGGAATCAAATAGAGAGTGAATTTCATTTTATCTCTTACTTGTGTGATAGGTTAGATTTGCTTTGGCTTTTGAGCGAGATTGGCTTTGGAACAGGCAATTCCTGCAATTTGGGTTTAGCTAAAGGAATTATGGGTTTATTTTAGGCCTTTATTTTCTTGTCTCATTCCTTTGTTGCCATGGTAACCTTCCTCATCCCCCAAATTTCCCCTTTATATGGCAGATGGGTGGTCCTTTTTCTTTTCTTCAACAAGGCCGGTGCACATACAGAGCTTGTTGTTTTGTTGTCTGTATCTCTTTCTCTCTTCCCGTCTTTTGTTGTTGGTGTTGGAGAATGGAGAGGGCTGGAGACCAGATGACAGCAAATTGATCTGGCTGGTCACAGATGGAGGCGTGTGAGTCGAGCCTGAGTGGTTCAGACCTCCGAGTGTCACGTTTCTCTCGGCTCTCCTAAGTGTGGTTTTCCAAACAATACATTTGTAACCAAGATTCCCCCTTGTTCTCTTGCCCTCGACACGTACTTATTATTAAGATCTGAAATACGGTGCGTGACACAAAACATAAACGCCCTCATCAGAAAAAGGCCCTGCTGCAAAGCCAGTATCAAAAAGAGGAAGTGCTACCTTCTTCTTTGCCACATCCTCTTATTTGTTATCTGTGCTTGTCTTCCCCTTCGACCCTGTGACGTGCTATTTTCTTTTAAAGCAATTGTTTGAAATTGAGTGCAGTCAGACCTTTTGTGCTGATAGAATTCACAAGAGCTTTCATTCAGATTGAGTGCTGCCCTCCACTTCTTATATCACCGTTCTGACAGTTTGTGGAGCTGACATCTGTTCAGGAACTCAGTGCAGCTGAAGTCACCCAATTCCGTCGAGTCGCTCAGAGTGGTGAAGGTAAGCTTGTTCAAAAAGACTTTTGTTTATGACCTTGTTTGAAAGTTACTGTCAACCTCAGGAAAAGGAAGCCACACACACATAAAACACACAGGGAAAGAAAAGTTGCTCATCGAGGCTTTTCTCTTTTCCAGATCCAGGAAACAACAGTTTGACACGCTCCAGGTCACGTCTTGTCAGAATGTGTTACTTTATGTGTTTGCTATAATTTGTCTAAGATCATGATTCAAAATGTTTCAGATGATTCAGAGGGAGAGGTGCAGCCCTGAAAATCTGTGGGGATCTACTGTACTGCACCTGATCTGTTAAGTGCTGAAGGTGCCACTGAAAAAAAGAGAAAAGGAAGTGAAGAAACTAAACCTCTTCCTTTTTCACTATTATAGGTTTTTCGCCAGATCCGGTGGCCTGTGTGCTTGCCTGTGTTTTTAGAAACTTCTAACACCCGCAGTCATAATAAAACCATTCTGAGAAGCAGAAATTTGGAGGTACAAGAATTTCTGTCAGTGCAATCAGTTCTTTTGCTGCTGGTCAGCAAGAAACTCCCTGCAGTAGTCAGAAGTTAAGCAACATGGTCAAGGACACTTACTAAGCCCCTGTTGAGACAGACTTTCTGCCAAACATGTTGATGGAAAAAGTGTTTCTTATTTCAGCTGTGGTTTATATTTAAGCACTTCCACTCAATGTGTTAAAGCACAATTGACTCATCTGCAGGTTTTGTTGACCTGTAGTGAATATCTCCTCTCGAGGAGGAACGATGGAGGCTGATATCTTTGAGTATCACAAAGAGGAGGACACTGTGAACGTTGAGTCTTTCCAGGGTATGTATGCATCTGGTAAGCTGATAAATATCCTGCTTTAGAGTGAGATTGACTAAATATTAGAAACACCTCTCAGTTTAATGCAATACAATTCAACAGTACTACAAACTGCAGCCCCCAAAATGTCCATGAAGTACATTACAGAACATTATAACCTTCATTAAGGTAGGATTTATTGTAGATCTGTTTTGTTAGACCCTAACCCTGGGTCATAATCCTCAGTGAGCTTGTCACTGTGAGCGACACTGTTCACGTTTCACTTTGGATCCGTAGTTAGTATAAAGATATTGATGAAAGTAGCTTTAAACTTCATTATCTTTCCACAATAATGTGAGTGTGACAGAAAACCTGTTGCAGATTTGATGTTTAGTGTAATGGATTGATGAAATCATGCAAGTTTCAGAGCTCTGCTATTTGGTTTTCATATTGTATAAAGGAAAGGAAACTAATGGCTGAGAGGAAAAATACATCCAAAATGCATGTAGGGCATCATGCAATGTAAATGTAAAGTACCTGTATTGTAATTAAGGAGCTACATCTTGCATTCACAACATTAATAAAATATAAATGGCCTTGTAAAATAGATAAGTAAAAGAATACTAACTGACCAGTGCAGGTTGTGTGTGTTCACACAGGAGAGAAGAGAAAGCTCATTCAGCCAACGTCTTTGAAAGACCCCAAACTTGAAAAGCTAAAGCAGGTAAGAGATGAATTCCTGATAGAGCTTTGTTTGAATCTCTGTTTTCCATTCAACATTTACTGTAACATCAAAGCCCATCCTTGACAACCACAGATCCAAGAATCCCTGAATGTCTTTAGTGGGCTGGAGATAAATGCTACACGGGAATTACATTACAGAGCCTGCATGTATGTGTGCCGTGAAGATCATGAATAATATCTGATGCAGGGAGAGAGGTGGAAGGATCAATGAAACTTTAATGAACATAATTATCAGAGGTGATGGGAGACAGATTAGAGAGGAGCGAGGACCCAGCAGAGTCTTCTGGATCAGACTTTAAAACACAATTTGATTGGAAAAGATAGAAGCTCAAGTGCTTTGTGCAACTGGCAATGAATGAATAAATAATCCTGGCATATATTGTTTGTAGACTTTGGAAGGAAAAGAAAAGAAATATTTATTTTTTATTTTTGGAGAGCACAGTGTGTTTGTCATCATTTTCCATCCACTTCAAGAGCATATTATCTCTGAAAATTGATTAAGAGAATTTACAAAATGAGGTTTCATGCTGTTTCTCATCTGCTACATTGGGAACAGAAAAATGTATAAAAGGAGATGAAAGTGTTTGATGCATCTCACTGTGTTATGAATTGTGTCTTGTTAGGTATTGATTGACTGGATCAATAGGACTTTAAATCCGGAGCACATAGTGGTTCAGAGTCTGGAGGAGGATCTGTATGATGGACTGGTGTTTCATCATCTGCTGTGTGAGTTAATACACATTTGTATGATTGCACTGTCGGCCCCATTTATATTTCATTTAACATTAACATACTTCAACTTAATCATAATTTAAATTAGACGATGAAAACTAACAAATGGTTCCCTTTCAAGTTCTCCTAAAAGTTGTCAGCTCTGCTATCCAGAACACTGCTCTTGCCAGTATAACTCCAGCCTTTACACATAATAATTTCCTGATTTCTCCAGCCAGGTTGGCCAGTGTGCACTTGCCTGTGGAGGAGATATCATTGACCAGCGCCGCTCAGATCCACAAACTGGAAGTGATTTTGGCGGAGTTGGACCAGAGACTGGGACTGCAGGACAGCAGCCAGATCAAATGGAACATCAAACGTGAGTCATGCAGCTGACCGGCCGTCACCAGCACAGCAACAAGTGGACAAATGTTCTGTCCTGGCAACGACTTCAAATTACAACAGGATTTGGTGCTAGCTCAAGGGTGCCATGTTAGCTTAT